CGCTGATGACAGTGTTTTTCGTATGCTGCGCCGACAAGCCGGCACGGGTGATGCCACTTTTCGAGAGTCACCGTCTTGCGCGATTCGCAGTGATACTCCCGCTGTCATTCTTTTATGCCTTTGTACCCACGCGTCGTTATCACTCGCCGACCAGGCGCATCGAGGCGGGAACCCAGTAAATTGCTGGATTTTCGTTCGCAGTATGATTTTTCTCCGTCAAGTAGTCAAGGCTATCGCGCAACTACGCCCCGTATACATCTATCTGTACGCACACGGTTTCGTGGTTACGCTGGTCTGTGAACTCTTGTGGGACTTTCTGCCAAAAACACCTATTTGGCAGCCATTCCCCGCGAACATGGATAGGTTGGTATGTGGAATCAGTTCCAGAAAGATGAGTTTGTTTGGCTGGAAAGGTTGCTTTTTGAGTTGGCTTGATAAGCGAACACGGCAGCCGACTTGGCGATAGCTTGTTATGTCTCCCGCTACAAGTGTGCCGTGTCAAGTGGCGCAGCCAGCGTGCAGGCAGACCCCCGTCGCCTTGACGATTTCTACTACGGTTTAGAAAATCGCATATATCTTACCATCTGTCACTCTGCGAGTCTTTCGAGCCAATTTTTTTTTTTCCTTCGCCTTTAAATGGAAATCGCAGCTGATCTGTCTTAACTTTTTCTCGCGGGGAAGCCTTGACTGAACCAAGGACTTGCTCGTTGCACGGGGGCCGGCGCCGCCGCAGCGTAGTATTTTCGCTCGATCGTGCCCGCGATATTTTTAAAGGTTTCGCGTCTCGCAATTCTGGGTCGGTCGCGGCAGGCCTCCCCTAGCGCTGGTGGTCTATGCTTTTTCTTGCCGCCTGCCCGTCGGCCCCATTTTTTTACGTTTTTGATCCTCCTCCCTGCTCTGTCGTGACTGGCGGAGGTTGAGTTTGTTGAGCGAGAAGGGGGGGTGCCGTCACGACGGGGGGGAAGGGCCTCGAGGCGCCGTTCGTCTGTTCTGACTGACCGCTGGCTGGTTCTCTTCTGTGAGCTCGACCAAATGAAAGGGGGGCCGTGGTGCGCGTGCACTTCTTTTGAATTGCACCGCCTGGCTGCACTTAGCAGCTGCCTCCACGAGACCATCCCGCTAGACATTCGGTTGAGGGGAGAAAAAGAAATGATTAGGATGTTATTGGTTGGGTCGTCACGCGAGTGTGCGGCAGATGGTTCGGACGTCGGGACTTATTATGGATTCACTAGAGCCCCACCGGATCACTGCGTCTCTTTTGAAGACGGTTATCGAAGCATGTGCGAGAGCCGTCTCAGGGCAATGCTTTGTTTCGCAATGTTGATTTGAGAAGTAAGTTTGTGAGCGTCCTTAAGTTTCTTACGTGTGTCGCTGTTTCTCTTCTCTTTTTACCGGGTGGTGGTGCCGGGTTGCTCTTATGACGTCATACAACTGTCACGAGAGAAGTACGTGGCGTACTTTTGAGCTGGTTTATTACGATTTTCATAGGAATTTGGGGGACGAATGTCATCCCACTCTTACAATATTCTCGGCGAGATCGGGCTATAGGTGGCAGCACCAGTCCCCGCGAAAGTGTGGCATAGGCTGTCGGCGGCGCGAATACAAATACACGTAGCGGCGCTTCGTTGCATGCGGTCCGAGCCGATAGTCGGCGGATTAAATGTGTTGACTAGCGGTTTACTGTTGTAATCTACGCTCTTGTCTACTGAATCGAGGCATGAGGCCTATGCAACGTTAACATTACCCGCGAGTAAAGCGCTTCTGCTTTTCATAGTGGATGCTCGCCCTGGGTGACTCTCTTCACGCTTTTGCACTGAATCACTGCCATTGCCGTGTTGTTTGTACGAGATTAGCTTGTGTTCAGCCTTCTGCGCACTTGCTGTAGCTTGACCGAACTACTTATTTACATCTCCTTTATCTGCATACTACAAAAAATATAAAAAGAAAAGTCTCAGAAAGCCCGCATATCAGTGTGATTAGTTCATTACCACCATTCGCACCTTATACGCATATGATTTTTTCCCCTCTCATTCTGTTCACCTATGAAATGTGGGAACAGTCGTTAAGTCTTGCTAGGCAAGCTTAGTGGCTGACGATGCTTTGGGCACTGCGTTTACCACGAGTTTGCACATGTTCTTGCACAAGTAAAATATAAAAAATATGTAAGAATTCAGCAGAAAGCTTTCATCGATGGTTTATGTGCATGACAGTGCTTCAATAAAAGGCCAGGTTAACGGGACGAGCATTTTTTTTTTTTAGACAAAAAATTACCATTGCCTTCCGTCGGTCGCTAACAATGCCACACAACCCTGAAGACACTGTAAAAAGATTACGTTTTCAGTGAAATCATATGACATTACATATAAGGCATGCCGTCTGAATTAATTTGCAACGTCTGGCCTTTTTAAAAGCGTTCCTAAATCTAAGCACACAGTTGCGCAAGCAGAGTGAAAGTATTGAATTATAGTGTTTCTATGTAGTTGTACCACGGCCAGATAAACACAACTAAGGCTCCTCGCATAATCGATAAACTACAGTGCCGTAGTTGTACACATACCAACAGCGCGCAAAATGCATAGCCTAGAGCCTTTTTTTCTTTACAGGCTAGTCGCTCTAAAACGCTGCATTCACACACTATTTAATAGTACTCATGTTTGGGAGGATGGCAAGAGCATTTTGCGATATGCTTGAAACAGAAAGCGGCAGCCACTCTAAAAATATTCTGCTGAATGGAGGGTACGACGACAATAAACAGCACTCTGGAAAGTTGCACTCGCCGATCATATTACAATGCATTAGCAGCCGAGCAAGACCAAATGCTTTCGTACGTCGTTTCAGGCATACAGAAACAGTTACACTCGCGCTTAAATGACCGGACAAACCACACTTTGAGAACCAACACGACGTACGCACACATAGAAACACGGTGTGGCTAGCAGACAACGTGCGGAGCAATCCACGATTCACCACTTTGGCCAGTTGCCGCCAGGCGGCGACTCCGCTCAATCTCGTGGCCGATAGGCAGTATACAGAGCGTATAAGCGAAATAAGCCGATACCAACAAACGGTTTCGCAGGGCACACGCGCACTCATGGGAATGCACTGTGTCGGTGCCACGGAAAGATTTGGCATATCTGTAAATGGTAGCCGTCCCACGGCGTCGTCTGCTTAATCCACGTCTTATCAGATAAAAAAAATTGCTTTATATGTATAATATAGTGTTTGTGTGTGTGTAATTACATTAGGTGATAGGAGATGCTTAATATACAATACTCCTACCCATTTGAAGAGAAATAGTCATATCACACATATCTTATCTCATTGGAGATGTGGTTAAAGAAAAAAAAAAAAAAGGGAGGGGAGCGCACTGACGAAGAAGAATGAAGCCGGGTATGCTCGGAAACATCTAGTGGTGACGGGGAAGGTTTTCTAGAAGACTGAAATTTGCTGTAGTTCAGGCAGAATGACAGACACATAGACCTTGCACCGAACGGTCGTCAGGTTGCTAGAAAGGGCAAAATCCCCGTCACAAAATGCCCAACTGCAGTTTTTGAAGCATATGATGAGTTATCCAGAAGTATTTCCTTGCGTGGGCCATTAGCGAACTTTTGCGTGTGTCAGGTTAGGCAAAGTGGCTTTTATATCAACATCCTTATAAGTAATAAGGCTTGGATTTTAAGGAGTTCTGGCTAGGCATTGCACGAAAGTTATATCCAGTTTATTGCCATATATCAAATTCTAGCCTACAATGCATTTGCAATCAGGACATTTAATACAGAAACATGTTTAATGTTAGCTGGACCTAAAGAATGCATGTTCGTGCATTATGTTTTTGTGTGTGTGTGACTAATAAAAACAGCGGTGTTCAACAGCCTGCACCTGGCACCGTCTTCATAATACACTGTACTTCACACTTCTGCGTCAGGCCATTACGATAGAGTATTGCTATATGGAAAAACTCCCCATAGCAAGGTGGAAGTGTTTGAATGACAAATGGACTTGATTTTCCACGAACACTTAGCGTTGTGCAACATATTAGGCCCGTGCCTGGACCTTCAAAACAGAGTAGGGCTTTACAATCATAATTCCATTACCTGTTCGAAATGGCCGTGCCTGAAGGCCCTAATGATAGAACAATTCACATAAGAAAATCTTGGCTATTAGGTTTACTTGCACATTTCATATATATTTATATTCTTCTTCTTCATTCTTTTCTTCCCTCTCTTCTGAAATCTTTTGATTCCCCTTCCCCATGCCAGTGGTATATAGATGCCGACCAAAATCAGGTTTTCTAATAGTTTCTCTCTCTGTGTTGCCAAATTTCACGGAATGCAAAGTTTATGGGATCTACCTGGGGTGTAGCCAAATATTTTTCGGAGGGGGGGGGGGGGATTATACATTTTGTTCGTGCATGCAGTTGTATGTGTGTTTGTATGAATATATGCAAGCAAAATTGAAAATGTTTTGGATGGGGGGTTGAACCCAACCACCTCTTGGCTCTGGTAGCTACCACAGTAGATAAGCTTTTCAGCTGTCACTGTAATGTTTCACATGATTACTGTAGCTCATGGTAATTGCACCATCAAAAAGTGCATCAGCCAGTTTGCTACAGTGCAACCTGCAAGTTGTGCTTTGATTTGAAGTAACAAATTGCACTGGAGCAGTGAAATATGAAAGGTGTGGCGGTTTTCTAATGCCTGCTTTTATTTTGAAATTGTATTTTGAATAAAGTTTGCTTGCCAGCATCAGTTTTCTCAATTCCTTTTGCATTAATCTCAAGATTGTGCAGTGAATGTGTGGTAATTGAATATACGGTTGCACAAGGCCGCTTCGATTTTGAATAACCAGCTGCTGGTAACTTGAGAGATTTTGTCCTGCCGCACAATTTTTTCATTTAAGAACGTTCTTGTTGAAACTTGATATTTATTTGAAAGGCAACATGTTCGAGATGACACCAGTGAAATGCCACATTCCTTACATTGCCCTTTTCCCTGCCGCAGGCTACTCGGCAACGTTGGACTGCACCTCCGGTACAGCAGTAGAGGCCAGTGGTGAGGACGAGCCATGGTGCCGCATCGCTTACTGGGAACTGAGCAACCGCGTAGGAGACTTGTACCCGGTGCGGCGGCCGTGTCTGCACATCACCTTTGATGAGAGCCCTACCTCCTTATCGTCATCAAACGAAGAGGCACTTCGGCTGCACTCTCTGGCAGCATGCTCCTCTTCCTCCGGGGCAAACAAGGAGGCCGTGGCCCGAACGCGATCCAAAATTGGCCAGGGGCTGACCCTGTCGTACGATCGTGAAGGTGTCTGGCTCTACAACCGTTCCGAGCACGCTGTGTTTGTGGCATCACCGACGCTCGACATGCCCCAGGTTCGCAACCTCACAGTATTCAAGGTGCTGCCCGGCTTTTCGAAGTTGGTCTTCAACTGGCAACAAGCACGCATCCACAGCAGCTACTCGTCAGTGCCGTGGGACGGCCCGCACGCAAGCAATGTGGCGCGCATCTCCTTCGTCAAGGGCTGGGGTCCCAAGTACGCACGCCAGATTGTCACTGCACTACCCTGCTCCCTCGAACTCTTTTTCCGCACCACACCGCCGCCACCCAGGTGATGAGGGGACTTGAGAGAAACAGAACTGGATTTTCATTAGTCAGCACCAACTGGACGTGACAGAGCCTCGGATGTAAGAGGACCGCAGTAATCGCGGGTTGCTCACCTGCCTGACTTTGCCTTTTGAAACATTCTCGCACTGCCCCACTCCTTCCCCATGCTTGTGTCAGCCAGACGCAATGTGGCTACATCCTGTCGCTATGAAGGCGGCGAGGAAGTGTTCCGTCTCGGGGAAGGGAATGAGAGCCTGCTTGGGAGAGGCTTTTCTTTTTGTGTGTGTGTGTGTGGTTCGAAGAAGGAGCAGGCAGGCGGAAAAGAAAGCTGTCTATGTGTGTGTATGTGAGAGATATTTCTCGGGTGGGTAAGGCTGGCATTGCTCTGTTCAATTTGCTTTGCGGCTCCCCGACCATTCAGCTGTAGGCCCTGCCATCACATTGACACGCAGAGAACTAGTGTTCCCGCAAGTTTCTGGCAGGTCGTGTCATCTTTCTTCACAGCTGTTCTGATTGTGTTCGGCAGTTGGACTTGCCCCTATGCCTGAGATCGACGTTCCCCCTTAAGCGCTCTTGTTTGGAAAACCGTATGTTGTTGGTAGATAGTGTAATTGTTATTGCTATCATCAGTTGTACAGAAAAGAGTCATTAAAGCATACAAAGCACACTAGTCTCATTCCTCTAGTGTGCTTACCTTAAAGTGAACCTTTATCAATAGTAAGCAATGCTTTTGTCGACAGGGGCACGCTTTGTAGTCATTGTCATGTAACAAATATACCAAAACATAAGTTTACAGTTTCGTTAGTGTCAAGCATCATAGATTTATTTCTGAGAATGGACTATGAAAACATATTGCAGGCTGTGGCCTAATTTTGTGCGAATGCGACCTTATTAAGTTTCATTGATCACTGTTATCTACTTCAAGTGCTGCTAGGTTCATTATGAGCTCTTCTGTACTGCAGTTCGTTATTGCATGTGATGCAAATTTTTTAATTTTTGCTGTTGTACGTACTAGCTTGTTTAGGCAAAAAGTAAGATCTTGAAAGGACACTGAAGAGAGAAATGATTTTTCTCGTGTTAGTGGAGTACAATTTCACAATCCCGAAAACGCACTGCGAAACGAAGCTTGGCAAGCGAGCAAAAGCACGGAAAGAAATTGTGGGTAAAGGCGCCACCTTAAGATTTCTACATAAAACGCCTTGACATCATGTATTTTAAAGGCGTCTACTGTGTCCTACAAAGCTTCTAATTGATAAAAATTAAGTACATTGGGATATCGGGGTCCGTGGACCTAGCATACAAAGTTTTGGAAAATTTCATCCAGCCAATGTAGCGAAAATACGAAAAATACATCTTGAAATAGTTCACGTCACCCGCAGAGATTTCGGCACTAAATTTAAAAATTGAACTTCAACCTTGATTTTCTCAGATAATGGTGAACTCATGATAATGAAACATAAGGCATTAAAGTGTTTCAGAGTCTAGTTTATTAAGCTAAACCAAGTCGTCAGTTTTGTTTAGTGTCCCTTTGTTGTAGTGCATTTCAATGTTGACTTTTTGTTACCGATGACCTTCCGAAAAATTGTACTTTGTTTTTTCTAAGTACGCACTGTTTGTCAGTTTTAGTAGTAGTGCACTGTATAGCGTATGCACCTGCAGATATATATTTGAAAAAATTAATGTTATGTTGAATGCATAAATTGTGGCTGCAGTTGCAAAAAACCTATTTTCACATCTTGAAAAGCTACTCCAGTTAGCTTTCATGCCTACCCCGGTTTTGTAGCAAAAGCAACACTTTTTCATGCTCTTATTTTCTGTGCACATTATGAACAGCATGCTCGAATTGTTTGTGCATTCGCATACTTTTTTCAAACTGTAGGATCGACTAACACACCTCTTTAATCTGAACATTTATTTCAAGACAATGAAGTGGTGTTGAATGGTGGTGCGGAACCCACGTCAACATTTCTCAATTTTATAAGTTGTCATTACAGCTATTGTAAGCCGCGTTTGTCATGGCCAGAATTGAAAGTGGCAGTACATGTCATTTGGCTGTTCTTCAATCAAATGGATGACGGCCTTTCTCATTGCTTGTGCGATGATTTCAGTCACTGGCATGGTTGAACACTTGTGACCTTGTCCGGGCAGGGTTCTCTAGAACAGCCACGAATCTTTTCAATATTACAGAACTTGGCAACATTCTACCCTAGATTCGGCTGTATATTCTGTCAAGTTATATGGTCGAACATTATTAAGGTCCACTTCAGTTTCATTGAGAAAGGCTCTGGAACAATATTGTAAATGGCTTGGCATGCTCTTGGTGCAAAGTTTGAAACATAATGAAAGGAAAAAAACAGAGGAGCGCCAACTACCAAACTGTTTAATGACTAGTTGATGTTGGTTGGTATCCAAATGTGAATGTGCCAGACCTATATTGTAAGTTTACACCGGTGTTGCCCCCCCCCCCCCCTTCCTTGTTAGCTGTAGTGGTCAAGATGCTCGCAATGATGAATGCAACTCTTGGGCGTTGTAGTCCATAGTAACCGGTGTCGAAAATTGTGCAAAGAGTGTCGGCTGAGGAATCTTGTGGCGCAGGCAGAAAGGGTGCAGCCAGCATTGTGCGTTGCCTATATGTGTATGCTGTTGGTTAACATGCCGTGGTGGAGATCTAATTGTGAGGTGTTACTTTCATTGAAGGCATTATGCCACTCTCGTAAACATTGCTGTTGTCTGTTTTTAAGAGAGGACTGCCCACCTGCAGGTTCCCAGAATATAACCCCTTGTTGTTGTGGAGTGCGTAAGGTACTAATTTGCCTCGAGCAGCTTCTTTCTTCATGCAAGTCAGCTTATTTATTATTGTGGTTCCCGCTGAGTAGGGAAGAAAGAACTGCCTGCTATGCTTTTATAAATATACATATATATATATAAATAAATATAAAGTATATATGCTTGTGATTTGTGTACCAACGCAGCCTCCTCTTCCCATTTTATGCCTGCTCTCATTTCTTTAAATGCCTCTCCTAAAAGGAAAATAACAGAGTACAAATCGCTTGTTGCATCCTCTCTCTGGTGTGTCTGTATCTTCTTCGCTGCAACTCTTTTTTTTTTTTTACAAGCAGCTGCGTGTTGAACACTGTGGACACTGTGTGGTGTGTTAAATTTGTTGAAAACCCCACGCTGTTTACTCTAGCAAGTTATTTTGCATTATATTTAGTAAGCGTGAAGAATGGATTTACTTAAATCGGATGTTTGTTACTTGATTCATCTTCATCCTTTAATCTCTGAAACTCTACACTTGCGTTAATTCTTATCACAAATAGGTGCCCCTGCATAAGAGATCTACGCTTGCTAAAGAATGGTTATTGACATTCTGGAAGCTTCACATTGTCCATGCATTTCTTTTGTACTTGTTTTTTTTTTTTTTTTGGTCATGTCATCAGGATAACTAATTCCTTATGAGCTTTTATGTCCAGGATGTGCACTTCACGTTTGCTTAGTGCACTGCTCTCTACGCACTCTGCAGTGACGTTGCTTGTGTTTCGGTGAAGGCTCGTTTTTCATTTGAGAGGTTCGTTTGTGGAAGCTTTAATTGCACCTGCCATTTCTTTGAAGGGTCGAGATAGGTATTTAACTTTTTCCTTGTCAGTCTTACCACTCTTCACTTGTTTCCCTCTGAGCTTTTGATCAGTGGCTTTGCTTATGTGTTTAGCGCTACCTTGTCAGAGTTGCCTAATGCTTCTTGCACACGGTTCTCAAGACTAGATCACTGGCTACTATCCGTGTCACCATATGAGAAAGTGCTTGCCTTGAACCTCCGCTGGATTACCTAAAGAAAGGTGCATCTGTTGCCATGGGCCAGTCTATGGGTAACTCGCTTCGAAGCATGTACGAATGTTCTTGAGTGGTCCAAATGGGTGCTGTTCACGGCATCTTTTGAGACAGTGCAAGAAAGGACGTTCATGGAATACATCCAACCTGGATGCTTTGGCATTTCACAGTGATTGCTATGCTTCCTCACTACTTCTCACCACTTTTTCCTTCAAAGGTGTCTTGACCAAGCCCACCTGGCGATCTTTGTGTAGGGATTTGATGTGCCTTTTTGTCATTTCACCTAGCATCTTGGGGAAGCTTGCTTCCTTTTCACCGTCGATTGCTAAAGGACGTGATTACGTATTACTAGAAACCGCCATCCTCTAGAACCATGTATTCTGGATTGCCAGTCCGGTACACCTTCCTTTTCCTCGTCACGCGTGCATGCATCTCGTGTCTTCCACATGGGGGGCAGTCTGTGTGTAACTTTGCCCATTTGTATTGGCTTTTTACAAATGTATTGCTGCAAGCTACGACATTGAGCTTCTATGAACACTTTACTCGCCACTGCATTGGGGCGTGCGTCTTTTCGGGGTTTGTAGCATTCCTGTCGACTCTGGGATGAATTGATTTGTGTGCCCACCGAATGCGTTGTTAGCAATGCTGTCCACTTGTAAATGGAATTGTGTGGTCACTCCACCGTATTTCTTAACGGTGCAGCACTGCACCACAATTTTGCGCAGGAGACAATATTTGTGGTTTTATGTTCCCTACGCACCTTTGCTCTATTTTTTTTTTCTTTTTGACAGCCTAGTAGGACTTGCGAGTTAAACAGGGTTGTGCTGGATAGCCATTTTTGGACACCGTGTCATGTCGCACTCTTTTTTTTCTCTCCTTTGTCTTGTCTGTTGTCCTCTCTTTCGTCTTGTCGTCTCTGCTGATGAAAGAACACATAAAAAGTGCCAAAAGCTGTAATAGTAACTTTGTTTGTGTCTCGGTTAGAGCTCGGGTTTGGGAGTACGAAAAACGAAACAAGGGAGGTCTAACTGTGAATATGCTGTGGCATATCTTGTTGTGCGTGGATGAAGAAAATAAGGTTGCTATCACATCTGTCGCCATCGCTTGGTTAGCAGGTCAAGGCCTTAGTGCCTCACTGCATCTCGCTCTTGTGTGTTGCGTGCTAAGCAAAAAAAAGAAAAAGAACTTGTGAACATTTTCAAAGAAAGTGCGTTCTTGTCTGGCGTTAACTCGCTAATCACTCTGAAAAGAAAACTATTCCATCCACACTTTGGTAACAGAAGATTATATAAATATATATACATATATATATATATAAATATATATATGATGAATGTGCGAACACGCTGTTAAGCAGGCTATAGAAGCTAGGCGAAGCCTGCAGAAAGTAAGTGCCTGGTCGATTGGGGAAAAAAAGTTGCTTGTGTATAGATACTTTTCTAGTTGAGTAGTCTTCTACCCCCCCAGAAGAGACTGATGGCTTCGTGTTGCCCTTTCGTACACTTTCTCTTTTTTTTTTTCTTCTTCTTCAGACGCATGTGGCCATGCCTGTGTCTTTGAGAAGCATGTGAGAAATATGTGTTTCTACGCGTGGTATGGAAATGACAATCCAATACCATTCTGCCTGCCTCAATGCCTTATGAATACTGTGAAATACAAGTGAATGTACGAAAAATGAAAGTTGTATGTGTATGTGTGGGTGCGTGCATGTGTTTTAATAAGTTTGCTCAAGCGTCCTAGACTGTGCTGTGTATCAGTTTCATCGTTTTCTGTAGTTTGAAGGCACGATGAGAATGACTTAATGAAAGCTTTTTTTTTTTTCTCTCATGCATTTTTGTACATATGTAAAGTGTAAATAATGCTTTTTTTTTTCTAGTAGGTTTTTTTTTCTCCTTGTGACCGGTTCCGCTATCAAATGCGTGGCTTTGTACAAATTCTGTCAGAAGTGTACAAAATGAAAAAGATACTTTCTACTGTAATAAAGGTACAGGTATCCTAAGTCTCTTGTTTCAAAACATTTTTTTCTCTTCGGTGGTTGTTGCCTGTGTCGCCGTGGCACCTCCCCTCCTATCAAAAAATACTGTCAGCTATGGAAATAAAGAATTGGGCCCGGCACTCACTCGAAACTTCTAATTCACACCACACACAAGTCCGAGGGACGTCCCAAAAATGTGCAAACACGCCACATCCCCAGAAGACATCCACAAGCATGAAGATTATCATAAAATTTGCTTTTGATTGGACGTGTTTGTGCATCTGGGGAGTCTTGTAGGCACCATTATTCCATTTAGTGCCCCAGCATTAGCAATTGTGATGTTAATTTGCTGTTTAGTTATTGGTTAAAGCTTCAAAAGGGCATAATTCACAGTGTCTATTTGGTGACAAACGCCTCCGCTAATATAGCAGGGAACCTACCCTTGGACGGTGGTTTTATTTAGGTAAGTTGTACTCTGAAAAAAAAAACACACTATTTTCGTTAATTTCACCATCATGGGCATACTAACAGAGCAGAAAATTAATATCGATGTTTAATATTTAAATTTTATACCAAAATAGGCGCGTCACACCACTGATTTTAAAGTGAATTTTTCGTATTTCAGACACCTGTCCACCCAAACACTTCAAATAAGCGCCAACGATCAGCAAAGCGCCCTGGTCACTCCCACCATTTCTTCAACGTGTTATATGCTGCAGAATCCTACAACAGTCGGTACTGTATAAGAACCTAAGTTCTGAGAGTCGTTAGATACGCTTACGTTGCTTCGTACTTTAGCAGTGGTGCCTTGGACTTGCGTTCCCAGTTGTCTCAAATTGTTGTAACATTTGAACAATCTTTCATACCTTGTGATAACCAACGGAATTTCACCCGGAAGATTCCCTCCGGTTCATTAAAAATGGTAAGTGAATGCTGAGCATTGAATTCGCAGCATTTCATACGAAGCACATTTGCTAGGTGTGCGTTCTTCAGATAGAAGCTCTTCCGCCGCCATCTTGAATTTCGGTTCGCGACCGAGCAAGGGCCTCCCTCCAGACCTTGTCCGATTATCTTTTGCGGTAAGTGGGCGACAATTGGTCGGAATGTTACGGTACACTAGCACGGAACAGCATTTAATTACGTGCGGATGGCGGAACACGAGCAACTGCCACCGCAAAATTTACACAGCATGCATTGAATCGCTGCGGATTCACGCTCATAAGCGAACTAAGGTTTGCTGTAGTTGCTGCAGACTCGCACGGGATGTTTCTTTTTTTTTTTCTTTTTTGGCTTTCATACAATCCGTCAGAGCTATCACGCACTAACATGTGGCGAGGTATATGCGGCACATGCGTTACATATCAGCCGGGCCCCACTGTGTATCAATTTATTTTATATATTATTTTTTTTTCTGCTAAGAGCTCGCATCTACACGATGTTTAATGGCATGATGCAACACGGGTCCCGCCCGGAAGACAAGGATTGCGAAATGCGCCGCCGAACTATAGCTGTAAATGAAAAGACATATATCGACGCGCGGGACGATTGCAAAACGAGAAACAACGGAACTTCCACGCTTCGTACAAGGGCCGAACTCTCTCTTCTAATATATGTGGCAGATGAAAAAACGTCCCGGTAATACCGTGCCGCGATTCTTTGTTCTTTAGTGTAGTTGTTAGCCGCCGATTCGAAACCGTTTTTCAATAAAATCACGCGGCGCCAGCGACGTCCCTGCACAGCAAATATATCACATGCATTACTCAACGGCGGTTCTCTGTAGAATGCGTTTGCAGCAGGCCTGTGCGAATGCGTTCGCGCTTGTGCCACTTCGGGAGTGACAATCCGGAAATAGAGATTTGATACAACGTTTCCGATTTACATACCTCTGCAGATGTATACTTATACAGCGCGGGTAGCGTACGTATCTGTAACAACTTTGCAACCTGTGTCGTACAAGCCGTTTGTCCGGCCAGCAGTAAGTTGTCTTTTCGTACAACGTTTTTTTTTTTTTTTCACGTTGTAGTCATTTTCACTTTCCAGTTAAAACAGTAAGAACTTAATTTTTCATTAGGGTGGTGGCGAACAGGCGGAGCAATGAAGGAGCGGCAGTTCTCCTCTCCTAGACGGTTCTCCTCTCGCCTACACAACTTCCTCACCACGCGGTGAAGGGGAGAGTGCTGCGTGCAGTCAGTTCAGAAGTGGGATTCACACCGACCCGATTAGTCCCGATGTCTTCCTTTACCGCTCGTACTTGCGTCCCAACGAGGTTATACACAGGACAAAGAGAACGAGCCCTTGATCAAATGTACCATTTCGTAATTATTATTCAGGAAGACTTCTACCTACTCCATTGCGTAGCTTTAGGTTTACGTTTAACCGCAGAAACTGCTCTAAATTTCGGTGTCCCCGCTTTGGGGCATTGCCACAGAGACACATTTGATGCGGTGTGTAATTTCATTCAAGCCACTGAACGCATTCCAGCATAATGTCCACTTTAATAAATGCCGGAAAAAAAATTCTCGTGAAGTAATTTTAAAATGTGATGTAAGACGCACATCCCAAATTATGTCAGCTGTCTGGCCAGCTACAAAAATCAGGTTATCGATATTTCAGTCGCGCCTGCTTCTTATTTTGTTTCTCACTTTCTTGCTCTTTATTTTTGTAATCTTCTCATTTTTGACAATATTTTTGTTGGTAACCAATAGTGCAGTTACCATCCATAGGCTGCCCAACGCCCAGAGTGGGTATGCGTCATAACATCCAGGCTACAAACAATTTGCTTCCTTCGTTCACGGACATACATAAACAATTAAACCCATTAGCTTTTGGTGGTCCTCTTTAGCAATGCAACCCTTCCCTCCGAGCGAAGGGAGACTGCGCGCTGAGGTTGCGCACAGGGAGGCACCTGTCCGCGACACCTGCGCCCGCACGTATCCGATTAAGTTTCGCGCATAACAGCCGTGAATTGATTAAAGTCAAACAAAAATATATGTAGTCCCGTGTTCAGTTCTGTATCTTCAAAAACACGACCGATGGCCTAAATAAAAAAAAACAGAGAAAACATCACCAATGGGGACAGGGGGACACCACACATCTTGCTATGGGGGCCATTTTGCTTTTGCAAATGTAGCTCTTAATTTTTAATTGCATAAGAATTTAAATCGCGCTTTGAAAAAAAAAAAAAGAAATGCGACCACCGCTCTCTGCACCAGATCAGGGAACCTAACCTAACATCACCGAGCAGCGAATACTGTAAAGGCACGTTGGAGTAGTCAGTTCCCAAGTGCAGCTCGTAGGAGGGCTCTATATTTCTAGTTAATGTGTGACTCGGGTTAAACCATCGAGTGAAAATGACTGTGCCTTTGTTATAACAGGTTAAGACACAGCCTTTTTTTTTTTTAGCTTCAGCTCCGTTCATCATCGAGTTCCAACTGTTAGAAACAGCTTCCTAGGATAGCTTGCTCGCAAAACATACTTGTGTCACACAGGTGAGTTTTCTTTAATTAACATAATTATAACCCGGTAATCGAATTCATGCTTGACTTTCAATGGCTTCCACGAAACCGTGTCGAGTTTATCTGTTAGAAAAAACCTTCCACTATAACTTGCTTGTAAAAGCAAGTTAATATTATGTTTACGTTCAACGGTGATCTCTTAAACTTAACTTGGTGATGACCCAGCAATCGGAATCATTGTCGATAGCTCCCGCCATAACGCCGGCATAAATGATTGATGATAGCTAATCAGGAATTCTTTATTTACTCTGCATGGTAAATTAAAGCCAAGCACAGTAAGCATTTCCAGCTCGTCAGTACAGCAACATACCCGTAGCATTTCAGAAAGCTAGAGCTCCGTTGTGCCTTTTGAAACAGGAAGGAGTTTCCAGCTTTGTGCTTCGTTTCTGCTGTATTGAAGGGCTTCATATTACTGAGTTGGTGTTACCGAGAGCGCGCCGTATATAAATGTCAAGCAATTCAAGCAATACTTTCAAGGCTAGTGTAAGCCCCATAAGGGTGCGCAGGATTGTGCTTCAGGGAGGGCGAAGGTTCGTCGCAGCACCTCCCCTCTCCCAATCAGGTCAATGTACGGGGCTAGCCTTTCGCTGCCCTCCTCTTTCACCCCCCACCTCGGGCGCATGCCTGTGGTAACCCCCAGTGTAAACACACAGAAGATCCGGACACTCCAAAGCCCCCATGGAGTACGCCACTGTGCTGAGCACCCCGACTTTATTCCCTGTGTAACGCGAAGACTACTTTGTTTGCGATCGTGGTCATGAGTAACGGAGTCACAAGCGTTCTCAACCCCGCGTATTCACATCAATACGAAGGGAAAAATAAATCAATAACTGTCCTCATGACGCCACGTTTGAATCTGTCTCATTCTGGCAGTGGATCATATGCAAGACGCCTGTATCCAAAAGCAAATAAAATCCAGCCAGTTTGACGCCACGAAAACCGCCGAACGGCGAAGTTGCAGTGATGAGATTTGGCTCTGGGTATATATATATAAAAAAACAGTCATCTTTATTGTTATATTAAGTGTTTTCATCATCCTCATTATTTTCGTTTATTTGTTTGGAGACGCATCGGAATCATTCCAACCCCCACCTTCATCATAATCACAGCTTTTCCTTTAAAAAAGGTGTGGGGGGGGTAAAGAGGGAGAGAAAGTGAAAACCTTAATCATAAAGAATAGCAACAAATAAAAGGAAGCCAACAGAAGGAGTCTGATTTTGCTTCTACGCCCCAGTGGTCTTCCTACGTGAGCTCGATTCATTGCGTTCATATGTTCTACTACGCATTGGTCTGGGAATGAAAGGTACGTGGCTTAAGTTTGTAGGCTCGAGGATTAAGATAAGAGAGTCTAGATATAAAGGTTAAGCAAAATGAAAGAAGACAAATCAGTGAGTGATGGCTCTTTCGCAACTGAACAGGTTTGTGCAACTAACCACGTTCACTACACGTGCGCGCCGATACGCGTAGCTCGTGCAAGGAGTTCTCATGACATCATTGATTCCTCTTCGGACCGATCTGTTTCATTTTATGTCTGCATAAATTCGCACTTGGCTTCTCCATACGCTCGACTATGCACATTTTTGAAAGAGGCCCCCCCCCCCCCCCCCATGTGGATTCGTGTGCGCAACACCCCCAAAAATGCACAGCGCAGAGACAGAGACGTCAGCGTGCCTCAACCTTTGTATAATTCCGCGCAACAGCCCAAAAAGGAGGCGCACCGTCTCTTGGTTGGTTGGAGATGCACCATAGGGCGCACGTTTTCATCCAGCGGTAGTGGGCAAGCTCAGTATCACCGCAGCCCCCCCCCCCCCCCCCCGTGCTTTGTTGGTAGAGACGGAAAAAAATAAAACTGCACTCTCGACGCAAAAATGAAAAGGAAGCATTGATGTGTTTCTCACCAAGGCCTGTCATAGATCGTCGGGTTTGCAAGGTGGGAAGTAAACGAACCTTGCGAAGTCAGTCGCCACGATTGCCGAAAAAAAAAAAAGAACGTGAGTAGCCGTGAAGCAGTGCATTAAAAAATGACAGCATATCCACGGGGTGATTGATGGAGAGTGGAGCGAAGCTGGATCCGCACGGCGCTGCCGCGCCGCTTCGGCCTCCCGTTCTCGCGCCGCCACGCAGCTTCACGGCACGCTTCTGCCTCGCGCGCTCGCACTTCGGGGTTCGAGCTCGAGCCGCCTCGCGTGCACGCCGCTCTGCAGCCCTGTCTGTCCATCCGCCGACCTTCTGAACGCGTGCGCCAGAACGGCTTTTATTTTACTACACCGCCTCCCTAGCGAACGGCGCCGCCGACGAACACGCGATCGCCACTGTCTTTGTGCGACGTCATTGCTATTTTCTTGCGCGCTCGCACATCGGAGTTCCCTCTTCGAGCGCGAGCCACCGCCGCCTTGCGCGTATCATACTTTTCATCAGCGAACCGTGAGTCATCCGCTGGCGGCGTCCGTCCGTCTGTTTGACGCACGCACGGACGAATGGATGGACGTACAGACGGACGCATGGATGAATGGAAGCAAGAACGAACGGATGGCCAGAAGCACGGAAGGTATGACGGACGCTTCGCCCCACTCATCATCATTCACTCCATGGATATGCTGTGATTTTTATTATTTGTCGTGCTGCGAGTAACGTCCTTTAGTATCGTATCATTAAAATTTTTCAACGTATATATCGTTAGACGTACAAGTACCGTCCTCTACGGCCGGTTCTAGAACTAACGAGAGGTGGCTGCATACGATTGCGACGGCACGCTCAGCCCACGCCGTAAAGAAAGAGCTTTGCTCCTAAAATGATGTGAAAGGCCCTACGAGTGTATGAGGCTGAATTGGCGCCATCCCAGCAGCATTTTAAATGATCGGGGGGAGGGGGCACCCACTTTGCCCTCCCTCCTCCGGCAACACGCCTACAAGGAAATGCCCGTATGTCCGCGTTGCGATTCCCAAGCAAGGCTTTTCCGGATGCTTCGCCACTTCTGAAATGCAACGCGTGTTCAACGGTGCAGCCTTGTGTGACGACGCACCGGCGCCTGATTTCCTGCTCCATCGCCGACAACCGGCGTGCGGCCACAGAACATTTATAGTGCAGCACTGAGCGACTGATTTACACTTGAGCCGCATTAACATCGCAACTCAATAGAGTACATCGCAACTAAATTGTACATGAGCCGCACGAACGTCACAACTTAAAAAAGGGTCCGTGAAGTTGTCACATCCCTTTGTACGTGGAGTGGACGGCGCTTGTAAACGCGGAGCAAGGTATGCAGGCGGCCGCTGATATAGGCCCTCTTCTTTGACGCCGCCCGTAATCTCTGACCGGCCAGAAACAGATACCGCATCCGTCCTTTGTTCAGCTAGCAGGGAGGTATTCGGAACTAGCACCGGCGCCTCAAGGGACAGTGACTGCCCTGTTTCTGCTCTTCGTTCTTTTTCTTTTTTTTTCTTTGGCCTCGCACGCTTCTCGGGAAGGTACAAACATGCTTGCGAGATGTCGAGGCCTTCAAGCTGGCCGGTCAGATCCGCCAGGCTCGGATGAGTTCTTGTAGCCTCCGGTAGGCGTGTTTTGCGCTGGCAATACCGCTGCCGTAAGAAGTCTCGAATAGGTCGCTTTCATCAGCGTTATCACGCACGCTTTTCCATCGTTTTAGTCAAGGATGAAGAGGTCGCATGGGTTGATAACGAGTGGCCTTTCAAAAAGCGATTGAAAAAGAAAAGTACGTATGAAGAAATAAAAAGTCTAAAAAGAATTGAAATGAGAACCATGCCAACTACTGCTACGTCCACTTTGACTCTTGCACATGCCGCGAGGAAAAAAAAAGTAAAGAAAGTAAAGCCTAATGATCGTTAAGCCTCGGTGGCTGTCCTTTCCAATTGATATGTAAGGTGCGTAAGGTGAGCCAGACTTCCTCCATGAAGATACGGTCACCGACATGGTCGCCTACCCGGCCGGTTGCCTGGGAAAGCCGGCAGCCAACAGCACGTACGCGTGTATACGTAGCGCGGCGGCACGACGGCGCCGATTTTTCCTCTCCGGAGCACGCAACGCCAGTTATTTCTTATTTCCTTTTATTTTCTCTTTACTATTTGTGTGTCTTTCCTACGTCCCCCAAACGCCGTGTGTCGTATGCGGAGTACATCCGTTCTGCAAGAGAGGGGCGAGTTTCGGCGTAAACATCACGCTCGGCGAACACAGCGCGCGACACTCCGGCGTCAATCGGCAGGTGTGCACTCGACTCCCATCCACGAGAGAGGGGCCGCCTGTCGCGCACACACACCACACACACCGTGGGGCCAAACGCAAGCGGGTCGCGATGACGGAGGCGGGGGGGGGGGGGGGGGGGGTAGGTTCGGCGCCGTCAGACGGCGGCGACCGCTTGGCGCCGGGGAGTTCCTTTATTGGGCAGTGCCTCTCATTGTTCTGCTGGGGGCCCCTGCCTTTGTCCAGCTGCGCAACGGCAGCGAACCGTGGGAGCAGCCATCGCGTAGTAATGGTCAGGCGTCATGCACGTTGTTTGGAGCCCGGAAGTGGGTGCAACAGCCGCGCAAAGCCAGCGCCACCGTTGACCCGTGCGCCGCCGCCGGGACGGCGCGCCGGCCGTTGTCTACGGCCGCTGCTGCCATCCCAGCCGGCGAATGGGGACGGCCCTCCTCCTCGGCTGTTTTCGCGGGCTGCAAGGGCGGCTCGCGTCGTCGTCATCGCGTTCGAGACGCCGGCGGCGGCTCCCTTTCGCTTCGCGCGCGCTCTCACGACCTCGATTTTTTCTCCGGCTGGCGCCGTGTTTTGTTTCAGGGTCGACTTGACGCTGGCCCGTCTGTGCTTGCCTCACTCCTCGTCGTCTTTCGGTCGACCATTTCGTCGTCGTCATGCTGGCGGCCGGTTGGTTGCGCAGCCACCGTGTCGTTGTTTTTGCATCTGCACCCCCCCCCCCCCCCCTCGCCTTCTCTCGATACTGCATTGACTGTATTTCACTTTTTTTTTTGTCTCGTTGCTTCCCGGTACCGGTGGCGCAGGTAGTGGCCTGTTTCTGGTCACGCAGCCCGATCATTGCCGGTGTAGTTCTCTTTTGAGTTGTCTTACCGAATTAAAAAATTCGTATCTGCATTCGCGGCAAGCGAACTTTACAGGGAGGCCTAATAGGGCATTCATAAAACACAGCTGGCCAAGGTAGTGGCTTCCACCGCGTTTCGATGAGAAACATGCGTGTATGTAGATTTCGGTGCAAAAAGAATCCGCAGCCTTCCTCCCCCGAAGGCAGGCGCGCCGCCACAATTTTTTTCCGGAAAAGGGGGGGGGGGGGGCACCTTAAAAAATTGGCTATTTTTCGCTCTTTATGGTATGGCGAAAAAAGAAAAGGTCAGGCAGAGGGGCGGGGGTACGTGTTGGTGTGCCACCCCCTAGCTACGCCCCTGCACGGGCGGAAGCGTGCTTCAAAATCATTAGGTAGTTTTGGCGCGTAAAACCAAAAACTTAATGCTGATCTCAGTTACATAGGCTGATCTCAGCCATGCACTACATTCCTACGTATGGAAGGTTCGGATCCTTCTTTGCGAATTAAAATACCGCCTACGCCCCTGGCTGCATTGTGTCCGAAAGGGGACAGTCGAAGTCTCGGAATCCTGGAAGGGCGTCTGACGCTTATGCAATGCTTTGTTATGTTGATTTGAAGTAAGTGGCGTTTGATAAAGGTTAATCATTATTATCAATTGTTGATTTGCTCCGCTACTGTGAAAAATCACAGCGCAGGGCCATTCCTACATTTATTTTTCCCGCCTTACGATGCGCCCCTCGATGGTTTGTACAAATGCATAAAGTTGCATACAATGATTATTGCATGAAATGCTAAACAAAATACAAGAAAGCATAATTTAGCTATTATACCTTTGTAATTCTGCTAAGAATAAACGAAAATATAGGTAAAATCTTTCACTGCGTTGTATTTACGCAGACTTGCTTAGAAAAATTATATTCGCTTGCTTTTAGGTTGGAATGTAACAGGCAAGTTTTTCATAAACGAACAAGTTTTTTTTGCCAATTCATTGTTTAGAGTTATTTTTGACTTATTACTCGTAACAAGTGTTTGTGTTTTGATTTAATAGAAAATCTTATCAACATCAACATCACTTTTCGCTCGCTGCCGACCTTGGCAGTTTCGCTGGTTTCGTGTGAGGGCCGTTCAAAGCGAAGTGTGCAGTCTTTTAACGCCTCGGAATAGAACTGCTCTGACTGACGGTTATTGTACACGTTTTAACTGCTCGTCCGTTATATCAAAAGATGTTTCCGGTTACAAACATGGCATTAAAGATGCGAAGTCTTGTTCGACTTCAAGTGGTGAGCTACACAATCGTGTTTTCTTTGCTCAGACGATGATGTTGCGTTGACAAACTTGATGTGAACTTGATCAGGACGTTGGTGATTTCGATGTCCGCATTAAAAGTGTAAGCTACGATGTGATCATCTCAAGGTTATTAGTACCGGCGTCATGATGCACAGCTAATCGCAATTACCTTATTGTAGCTTGCGTAAGCTAATTACGATGAAGAAGTTCAATGCGGATCTGAGGTGTATTTGATGTGGTGTGCAGTTTCATTCAAGCTACTAAACGCATTTCTACACAATGTCCACTTTAATAGTTACTCGAAAAAAAAATCTCGAACTAATTTTAAAAATGTGATGAAATATAAATATATACAAATTATTCGGGTTAGGTAATCGCCTGCCTGGTCGGCTCCAAAATCAGATTACCGTTCTTGTAATAGCGCTTATTTCCTTTCTTTTTTTTTTGGTTAGTCACTTTCTTTTTTATTTTTGTAATGTTATCTTTCTTTTATGTTATTTTTGTTGGTAAACGATGGTGCAGTTACCATCCATAGGCTACTATGCTTTTCTGGCCAATCCTTGGATGCGCAGTGCTTGCGTTCACGCGCAAGCATATGTCGCAATACCCGATATTTATTAATGGGACAGCGATACCTGCTGTAACGCACCACAAATTCCTTGGGGTTGTCGTACACAGAGATCTATCGTGGACGAGGCATGTCGCAGTACTTAAATCTAAATTGAAGAGCTTCTCTCGTTCTTCGTCACGTAACAGGAGCAAGATAGGGCCCATCAGAATCATCGCTACTTCAATTATACAATGCTGTATTTATGGGATACATTCGATACAGCATGCCGGTGCTCTCCAATATGAGACCTAGTTGTGTGAAGACGCTAGAGAGTGTTCAAGCTCAATGCTTACGAAGATGCTTGGGTCTGCCGCGCTGTACTTCAACAAATGGGACAATCGCAGAGGCTCGGGCTTGTCCCATCAGTGTATACATGCTCTGCGAGCCACTTAGAGTTCACCTCCGATTGCTGAGCAGACACAGACAGCCCCCACTGTCAGTACTACCCGCCGCTCACCCAGATTGCAGTTTCTCAGGAGTAATATCGCAGCATGAAAATATTATACCATCAAGGTTTTCCCCGCCAAATGCCCCTGCAGTGCCTCCATGGGTCCTGCCTAAACCACCTGTTTGTTTTACGATACCTGGAATTACAAAGAAGTCGCTCATTTCTTCTGTTGGCCTCAGACAACTGACCCTATTTCACATTTATACAACGTACAGTGATTCTCTGCACGTGTACACCGATGGGTCGATCACACTAAACACCTCCGCCGCAGCCTTTGTCATCCCAGACATGGATATCGCTCAACGATTCAAAGTGGACCATAAAACCACATCGACTGCCACAGAGCTTGTCGCTATCCGGGAGGCAAGAAGATTTATTTCCGGAGAGCGACCTCAAGCGTGGACGATTTTCTGTGATGCCAAACCCGCTTTGCAAACCATTAATTGCATCATGAAGCAAGGTCCGCATTACAGCTTGGCAATATAAATCGCAGAACTTATTCAGGTTGCTTCAACAAATGGCCATCTTATCACTTTCCAGTGGATTCCCGCTCATTGCGGCGTGATGGGAAATGAAGAGGCAGACGCTGAAGCTAAAAATGCCTTAAGCAGTGCCCCTGAAGTACGCATTGCGTTTTCACGAGCTGAGACGAACGCCCTGCTTCGCTGCGTGATGCGCAGCTACACACTTCAGCACTGGACCAAACCGGAACGGCGACACCAGCGAGTTCACAAATGGGACCCGGAAATGAGGTTCCACATGCCCCCTAAATTGAAACGGCAACTCACAAGTATGATCCACCGCATTCGTCTTGGTGTGGCGTACATCAGACATTACGCACATATGATCGGTCGCAGTGACACCGGTCCTAATTGTGAACACTGTGATGTGCTAGAAATACTAGAGCACATATTTTGTGTCTGCCCAGCATACGCATGGGAACGACAAACACTGATTTCTTCTACTGAACTATATCGCAGTAGGTCATTAACTGATGAGACCGTGTTGGGCCCTTGGCCAGACACCAACAGTGCAACTGCAGTCATAAGAGCAGTTATAACCTTTTTGGAAACAACTGGACTATGTGCGCGGCTATAAAATGTGTCTCAGCTAGAAAGAACACTACATACTCACCTCTCTACCTCACCATCGTCATTCATTAATCTTTCTTTTCCCCTTTCGCTTCCACCAGTGTAGAGTAGCAAGCTAGAGCAAGCTATCGCTCAGGCTGACCTCTCTGCCTTTCTGTAAATAAACTTACCTCTCTCTCTGGCCAATCCTTCAAAGTGGGTATGTGCCATAGCGTCTAGGATACAAACTAACAAATCAAGCCTAATCGCGATCAAAAGTTGTCTCTTCTTATGTTACACAGCGTTTACATTTAACTTTATGATCGACAGCATAGCCAATCCCCTGCGTGAGTACGGGCCAGTTTTTCCTTGCCGACAAAACAAAACAATTTACGGTGTGACACTGGTATAAAAGGTGTGCTGTCGACACGCCTTGCGGCAAATCTCGTTGGTTGGGCTTTCCGCATGGAGTAAGAGCTACTTTCATTACCCATTTTATGATCGTTTACTGCTTAACTGTTGACCAACTTTAATGCAAACTGGCTGGTCGAGCAGTTGTTTTTGACGTATTGATTGGTGTCATGGTTGTGTTCATACGTAGATTATGTGAAGCTTCTGGAGAACGCTTTGCACCACCTTACGCCTGAATTTTCATATGCTTTGATGCGTAGGTCAGCTGTAGCACTACTGCAGCGTCAAAGGAGCCAGTTAAAAAAGGACAAATTGCGAAAAGGATCCCAGCATTCGTCAAATTGGAAGCGGGCAAAACGTACTCCTGGTGTGCTTGTGGTCTCAGCAAGAAGCAGGTGAGGTTTACATTTGTTAACATCGTAACTCTGACTAGTGTCAGGCAATTTCAAGTTTAGCTGCAGTATCATCTCTTTGGCTGCATTAAGTATGGCGTGTTGTTTCTTTTGGCACTTTTAAATTTGAGTATGCATCCATTTGATTCATCGTCAGCCTGGCTACGTCTACCGCAGGACAAAGGCCTCTCCCATGTTCCGCCTGTCAATTCAGTCCTGTGCTTGCTGCTGTTATTTTTACAACCGCAAACTCCTTGATGTCATCTGCCCACCTAACTTTCTGTCTCCTCTTAACCCGCTTGCCTTCTCTGGGAATCCAATTAGTTACTCTTAATGACCAGCGGTTATCCTGTGTAGGTGCTACATGCCCGGCCCATGTTCATTTCCTCTACTTGATTTCAACAAATCTCAACCCCGGTTTGTTCCCTGATCCACTCTGCTCTCTTCTTGTCTCTCTAGGTTACACCTATCATTTTCCTTTCCATCGCTCGCTGCGTCCTCCTCAATTTAAGCTGAACCCTCTTTGCAAATCTCTAGGCTTACGTGCCTACATCCAGCCATGATGGCGCCTCAGTTTAAAGCTTCTACGAAGACGTGGAATCAGTAATGAGTAAGGTAAAAACACACTATACTATACTCATGGGCGACTTCTATGCCAAGGTAGAGAAGAAGCAGGGTGGAGACCAGGCAGTAGGAGATTATGGCATCGGTACTAGAAATGCCGTTTGACTAGTGAACTCCAAATTGATGTAGGTGCACTTACTAAGCGCTCATCTGTGGCAGTTGCATCTCCTCCTCCAGATATTCTAACCTATTCGAGTGAATAGTCAGATCTTTTCTTAATTGCGCTGTATCCATAGACTGTGTATATAGGTTGTAAACACACATTCATAGATTTGAACCATAGGTGATAGTCTTTTCTGCTTGGTAGTTTTTTACATGTTTACTTTTTCGCCTCTTTCGCACCACGAGATCCATAGGTCGGTAGAAGTGGCAAGCACACATTTGCACATGCTCATCAATATTTTTGTGAGCTTCACAATTTCTGGTGTTCCTGTGTATTCACTTGCATTTTTTCTCATGTCCGCTGACGCTTAGCAGCACTCGCAGACATTCTATTTACCATGGTAGCTTAGGGCATGCGCAAGCAGTTTGTTAATCGTAGTTACACCTTTCAGCGTGTTTGAATCCCGGTCATGGTAGTCACATTTCAATAGGGTAGAAATGCAAAAACACCGACGTACTTTGGTATGCGTACATGCTTAAGAACCACAAATGAGCTAAACTGATTCAGTCTCCCACTGGTTTGCATCATCATCACTGTAGGGTTTCAGCATGCAAAACCCTCAGAATATTTCGAAATTCTCACGCACTTGTAGTCTCTCAAATTCATACTTGCTGGTGCCCACTTGTGCTCGCACTTGCATAGTCAACAGTAACACTCACGTTCGTTCTCACAGCTTAACAGTTGCTGTACTTTCGTTTGTACTCACGTTTAAGCAGCATTTCCTCCTGTTCCCTCTAACATTGTTTCCTCTTACATTTCTTCCTTTCTTAACCTTTCGGCCACCTTGTGGGGTTACTTGTGTCTTTGTGCTTCGAGTTAACGATGCACTCGCACTTCCAATTGATAGCTTCCTGGTTAACTCAATTGGCAGAGCGACCGCCTTAGTGGTCCCGAGTTTGAACCCAGGACAACGAGTGGCTATCTATTTTTCCTTTCCTGCTGACTCTCTTTTTGTCATTTGTGAATGCTCTAGTTATTCCTGGTAAACTAGTATAGAGGGACATTGTGCACTCTTGAGTGAATATGCTAACTTTTGTATGTTGCTATATTCTTCTTTTGTGTGAATACAGTAGATTTTTCCTCCTTCTCAAGCATAAACATACTGCTGTTCACCTTTTACCTCTCTATCCTTGCTCTTCATTTGAATCTGGCACAGGAATACCACAATTGTGTTGCTTACGTTTTGCTGTTAGCAACAGCTTTGAATAAGGTGACAGCTAATTGAGATCCATATTCTTAATGCAGCTTATTTTTCTCTATGCTCTGCGACAGCTTTTTAATTGAGCCCAGCAACATCTGTGTAATAAAGTAAAATAGCAAAGTACCGTATTCATTCAAATGTAGCTCAAGTTTTATTACCAATTTTACAATATAATGCTGAAATAACTATCTTTTCTTCCAAGATGCCATGAAAAGTAATTTCTGACGTTACAATCACGGTTGCCTTACAGTCGAGTAAATATGGTGTCTTATATGAACTCTTTTGCCACTTTTTTTCCTAGCCATTCTGCGATGGGGCCCACAAGGGCAAGGAGCATGGTATTGGGCCGGTGCGTTTTACCGTTGAGGAGAGCAAGAAGTATCTCCTCTGTAGATGCAAGCAAACCAACAACAGGCCATTTTGTGACCTGACGCACGTCAAAACTTGTGAGTGGCATTTTGATGTCATTGAGTGTCATCTTTATCGTTGTGACTGTCCCACCAATTTGGTGCAGTACAGCCTATAATAACTTGTGTCAGTCACTCAGTAATCAGAGTTTGCTGGGTGTTGTGAGAAGAGAGGACAGATCGCCCACTGGGCATTGCCAGAGTCTGTTGTTACGTACTCTTTTGCTAAAGCTTCCATTCCGTTAGCTTCACACAGAGGGTCACCGAAAGCATAGGAGCCCTATTTCTGACTGCTGTTTTAACTGGCCGATGTATTCGCAGTTTTGACTGCCCAGCTTGGGGTAAGTGCAACCGAGTACCAACCATAGAAAGCAGTCCGACAAATATGTCTTTAATATAAAAATACGCGGTTTAATTGTCTCGAGTCCGCTAGCTGAGAGACCTTGTTGCACCTTGTTTTCCTCTGAGGCAACTTTATGCATCTCTCAAGCCTTCAGGAAACACAGATTTGAAACAGGCTTTAATAATTGTAGGTTTTTCAGCATTAAAAATGTACCCTAAGTGGCCAGTGTGCTTTGCCATACTAATGAAATTCAACCAGCTGTGTATAGCAGACACTGATTAAAGCTGTTGGCTTACAAATAAGCCTTCATTTCACCAATTATTTTAGCTGGTTGAATGAAGTGGAGTTTCAATGAAATGGGGTTAAATGAAGTCGAAGCAGTGGTGGGAGTAGTAGTGAGTGGGGGGAGTCTGCAGTAGAGGCATCTACCCGTTTCCAATCTTCAATGGCCCTCGCACATCAAAGCCTCAACCAAGAACAGCTTCGTTGTTGGAAAACAAAAAGAGAGTGGAAGAGACAGAGAAAGAAACATTAAGGTATCAATTATGCTGTTTTGATAAGAATTTTGTTTACATCATTGTACTTCACCCTTATGTATGGCATCACTATCTGTCACAGATAACACACTGTGACACCATAGGCTTAGCCAGTGGGTGATGTTCAGGAGTTACCTTCCATGCCCCTTGCAAAAGAAAAAAAGTTTCGTGCATTTATATATACTAAATGTGTACGTACAAACACACACATGCACATATGTGAGTTGGACCCCTCCCTAAATAAATTTCTGGCTCTGCTCCATGGTGAAAACATGACCTGATTAAACATACTTAAAAATTCACTATGTTGCTAAGCTTGGCAAATTGTTTTGTAGGAAAATGAGCTTTTGTATTATGAAAAAAAAAAAAAGGTCCATTAGTGGCATCATGTTTACGCATTGCATGCTGAAATGTCAACATTGCCAAGTTTATTCTTTTCACTCCATCAGACACTTAGTATCACTCATTCAGTAGTGAGAGAGTTTTCTGTCACTGCTTGAGGAGTGATTAGTTGACCTTATAACTTACAACAGCCTTTATTTATAAAAGGAGTGCCTTGTTTTCAACTAAGCATATGTGTTTGCATTGCAGTTATTCCAGAGCCTGTTCGTGCGGCCTTGAAGATTAAACTTTAGTTAGTGCCTCGACTTACGACCACATAGAAGAACGTATTCATAGTGCTTATAGGTAGCTTTTGTAAAAAAGCTTCAATAAAGGTTCTTTGCATTATTTTTTTTGAAGCGCCTTTACTATGCCCGTAAATACTGAAAGCATCTGCCTTTGTGAAGGAGGAGGGGTAGGAGGTTTGTGAGCCGCAATCCACATGATGAAGAGCTAGGAACGTTATAAACAAGCACTGCTTTGATTCGTGGTGCAACAATACACTTTCACAATCGCTGATTTACGGCACTCCATAACAGAGATAGCCATGCAAATACCGAGACATCGAGACTTGTAAGCGTACAAGCAAATGCTTAAAAGCACCATGGCAGTTGATCACCACAGTCTTGTGGTCAACAAGAAGACTTGAAACATGAACAGACAAGGCTTGCACATTGCTGATTTTTCACACCTTAAATGCAATAGATATGAGTGAAGTGGGCTGACCTGTGGCCCGAAGTGTGCTGTCACCGATGGCAGCCATGGTTGTCAGTAGGGGGTGCAAAAGTAATACCCCCTGCTTTTCCCCCACTACAATGCAATGTGGGTTTGCTTTCCCCAAAGATTAAATCCTTTTGCCAGTTATAATGGAAGCTATGCTTATGCAGCAATTTTTGCTTCGCAGGGAATGTTGCTGTTGTAATAGAATACTTACTGCAGAAACGGGAAGATATTTTCATGAACATAAGTGACCAGGAAGTCTTCTGCATGGTCGACTGCTGGGATAGATATGAGTGGTTGCTGCTGGCTGAGGAATGAAAGTGAAGCAAGGAATATGGCGGCATTGGCATTCAGTTTTTCTTGTTTTTCTGCTTTTGTGTGACTGATGGCTGTGATAATCGTATGAAAGGACACAGATGGTGTACGTGAGTGACGATGCCCACGGTATGCTGTGTACCGGGTTGCCGCTCCGATTGAAGATGTACGAGCAAAAAGGTGTCATTTAGTTTTCCTAGGGCCGCAATGAGATGGATGAATGGGAAAATGCAATACCGGGACAGCGAACTGTTGGATTTACCTTTGATTCTGAACACGTTAGAGTGCGCGAGAAAGATTTCGACACCACAGACATTACTATTCGGACGCTCCGCCGCGGTGGTCTAGTGGCTAAGGTACTCGGCTCCTGACCCGCACGTCGCGGGATCGAATCCCGGCTGCGGCGCCTGCATTTCCGATGGAGGCAGAAATGTTGTAGGCCCGTGTGCTCAGATTTGGGTGCACGTTAAAGACCCCCAGGTGGTCGAAATTTCCGGAGCCCTCCACAACAGCATCTATCATAATCATATAGTGGTTTTGGGACGTTAAAACCCCACAAATCAATCAAATCAATCAACATTATTCGGACGGGCAACTTCATAGTGCATGGAAAAAAATTCTCTTTTGTTAAGTGAAAAGGCAAGTTGCAGATTGGAGCTGTTTCTTTTGCAGCTTGGTAGTTTTTTGGGCTCCTGCCAGTTTAGATGCTTAGCATTTTTTTTCCTGCGTGCGGTTGCTAAAACGTTTTTTTTTTATTTTTTCATTGACTCAGTATCAGCTAAGCTTATGTCTTCTTTTCTTTAGTTTACATCAGTTTGCTCTGTTTATTGTTTAATTTTTTTCAATAGCTTGCCTTCATTTACTGGCCCTGCACATAGTTTTTCTACGGTAGAAAAAGTGTCGTTCATAGCTTTCTGTTTTCTGAGGTATATTTCCAATGCTTTTTCTCTCTTTCTCTTTCAATCATAGCATCCTTGCTTTGTTTGCTGTGAAATAGTGGCTCGACAATGCGATGCTCATAAACATATGCCTTGAAATGAGCCATTTGTAAGGAAGTTAGCTCCGCTTGGGCTTTGGCACGGGCGCATACTTGGCTAGGCAAAGAGAAGAACGAATTCAAAATAAGAACAGCTGGCCCAGGATCAGGTGTTGTCTCTTTTTCTCTCCATTAAAATGGCGCAGTCGTCATAAACAAAGCCTTGGGGAAGCCACCAACTGTGCTCGTTCGTGGATCCTCAGCGTTCCGGAACCGCCAGCCAACGAAAGCCATCCATGCTTTCTCGGCCATGGAACCCGCCGATCTGCCACCGCACCAAGCACAGCTCGGGGACGGAGTCTATGTCTCCTCGCCACTTCACAATCTCCCGGCACTGCGAACGTTGTCTCCCGGCCTCCTCGGCGGGTCAATTTTTTTACCGTCAACGCCGCAACACCAGTTCACGCCAAGGTTACGCACGGGCTTTTCTCGTATGGGAACGCAGTTAACGCTCCCATGTGCGTGGATCCCATCAACAAGACTCTAGCACCCCTGCAACCTCCCACGAACGCCGTCCATGCGTCCTTGGCAATGGGTTGTGCAGCCGCGAGTTGCGGAGTTGATGTTTCCTCCGCAGATGCCGGACCTGGCATGCAAACCGCAAGCCGGCTGCCACAGGAAGCACCGTTTGGCAAGGACGGCGTCGAAGCCTCCTTGCCCCCCCCTTGCCTGGCGGCGCTTCAAGCACCAACCGCGGAAGGCGACTAGGCTGCCTTGGTAACTTGACGCTGCCCTCACCACAATCCAGTGCTTTATGACATTGCCGCGCTGATTGCTGCGACGGCAGCATATACCGCGGCCGCCGCCAATAGTTCCCCTGGTGGCACCTCCGAAGATGCTGCGAGGATCATCCGCGAAGCCGCACGCTTGTCTCAGCAACTGGCACCTTCAAACTACGGAGTCGCAACTGCCGCTGTGAGTACTGGGGGCCCCATAATCTCCGCGGTCATCGCTCCTGGCTCCTTGGGCCCCTCACACGCCCTACCCACGAACGTCATGCAGGCGACATCCTTGCTTGCACAGAAGCTAGACCGTCTCGCGCTGCGTTCTACTGGGTCCCTGTACTCCACACTACCATCTACAGTTGCATCGGAACTACCGGAGTTTCGAGGGTTCCAAGATGCCGCCGTTCTGTGGGTCGAAACGGTGAATGCTCTTGGTACCCACTATGCCTGGCCAGATTATCAGAAATGGCTGGTGGCCATTAACTGCCTTCGGGATGCTGTTAAAGCCTGGCGCAACTACGAAGGCAAGCAAAAACAGTCATGGCATCAATGGTGTGCCAGACTGACTTCTGTTTTTCGGCCGCTTTCGCAGGGCATTTCTGCCCTCACTGCCGACTCAAGTTGTCCCACGGGTGCCAGAGGGGAGGCACACCATCCCGACATAACACCATTTGGGCCAAGATTGTTGCCTGACTCTATTCTTGTCGACCCAGACTCGACCGTGGATGGGAGCTCTGCGGCTCACTACCTCGGCAGTGCACCTCTTGGAAACTTATCTCAGGAAAAACATTGTCCCGACAATGCAGCCCTACCCTCTGCCAACCAACCCTCTTTCGGAGAAAGAGTTTGTAAGGAGACCTTCGATTGCCCATCTGTTGCCCTGATCCCCTGCCCAGACAAAATAGCAGATGCGGTAGGAGACGCGCTCGACACCGATGTCAGCCGCGAGCAGGGCTCCATACCACAAGTTTCAGAATCTGTGACTTCTGCACCACCAGACGAAAATACCACTCACAAGCCCTAGCCAGAAAAAGCCAATATCTGCCATTCCCAGCCCCTGGCGTGTGAGATCGTTCCCTAGAACCACCACTTCATTCAGACTGCCACTGTGTTGCCTTCAGGCCGTGTGTACCACAACACCGAACTTTTTCGCACGGCATCTGTTGCTGATCGACTGGGTGTCGACAAGTTCGGAGGGAGAAGCACCACAACCAAGGTACCTTCGGATAGATGTGTCAGCCTTGTCGAAACGTGCAGAAAGGTCCGAGCTCCTTCGCAGCCTTCCTCCAGCCAGTATGTAGAGACTTTTGGCGTAAACGTGGAAGAGAAACACAAACTAACTGATACGTGCGAAGGCAAACTGCATGCGGCCAGCTCAACCATACAACCACAATGACACAGTCAGCGCGGCAAACCAGAACCATCGTCGTGGACAGCATTTCAAGCCAGACCACAGCACGTCCAGAACCAGTGCCGACTGCTACGACGTAACCAGAGCCGTCCACTGCCAAATAGCCAGTGCCGCCCACCAGACAGGCTTATGGCAAATTTGCGAGCCAAGTCGCAGCGAGGCCAAGTCACACCACAGCGATGCAGCCAGCCACGCCCACCTGAACTTCACGAATTTGCAGTCTTGGCCGAGTGTAAGGAAGACAGCTCCGCTAGGGCTCTGGCACGGGTGCATACTCGGCTAGACAAAGAGAAGAATTAAGTCAAAATAAGAACAGCTAGCCCAAGATTGTGTGTTGTCTCTTTTCTCTCTATTACAATTTTTAGTTTGCACCAGTTTGCTCTGTTTTTTTGTTTAATTTTCTTTAATAGCTTGCCTTCATTTACTGGCTCTGCACATAGTTTTTCTATGGTAGAAAAAGTGTTGTTCATAGCTTTCCGTTTTCTGAGGTAATTTTCTAGTGCTTTTTCTCTCTTTCTTTCAATCACAGCATTCTTGCTTTGTTTGCTGTGACATAGTGGCTCGACAATGCGATGTTCATAAACATATGCCTTGAAATGAGCCATTATAAAAAGTTACGAACTCAATGGGCTTTATTGCTTCCTCAGCTTGACACATTTTTTAGTATTTTGCCCACATTGCATTTTTCACATTCTGAATAAATCGCAAGCACAACAGAAGTCTGCTTGTGAACGCATGTGCTTATCTTCTCTAGATTGGAGAAACACAGCTTCATTTCATTTAATCAAGTCTGTCCTGTGAGCAGTTCTCATCAGGAAATTTGTTGCACCACGTGGCACTAACATAGTACATGTAAGCAGTCAAAGTAGCGCTTATTGTGATTTGTGAAGGTGCCACCATATTATTTACATTGCTATTTATCCTATGCCACGGTGGGCACCTCCAATGAGTGTCCTTGCGACGCTCCTCAATGTAGTAAAGTACGACACACTTTCGCTTGCGCAACTTTGTCCATGTAATTTGTAGTTGGCAAAGTGACATGTCGGAAATGAAGAGAACGTGGTTGCAAGCTCAGAGTTAAGGCTAGGCTCTGAACTTTAAAGATCGGGGAGTATTGATGCTGTACACAGATGTTACCTTGCAAAAGCTTCGTCATTCCCAGTTTCAAGTGTTGCCAAATATATGTGTGTTAGGCAGCAGCAGAGTGAAGTTGGCTTTCGTAAACTGTGAACACAGTAATGAAGAGCGTTTTTTTATTGTTATGATGCCATCTACACAGCGTAAATAGTCTGAGTCTAAATAGCACGACCGGCACTGTCTATACTCCTGCTGTAAGACATCATTTTGTGAGTTGGTGGGTTTACGAGGCTTGCGCAGTGTCAAAAGTCTGCGTAAATATTGTGTGCCCAAATGAAAACTCTCGTGCTGGCCACTGCCTGAGATAATGAACCACGCTAGAACAACACATGCAGCAAATATTGCAGTCTCCAACATGGCTGGATCCATCGCAGCGTTGATATCGTCTGCCACGACCGGCTACACCACCAAATTGTCACGGTGATTATGAATATGCAAGACAGACAAAAGCAAGTATATTTGCAATGTTTACAAGCCACTGTGCCACTGAATAGCTGTCGGGATCTATGTGGCACACCAGTCTCTCCTTCATCTCTGCATCTGCCTTGGCGGGGTCATGCACCACGTTTGTAACAATATCTTTAAAAAAAGTATGCAACAGTAAGTTTTTAAAAAGTTTTTAAAAAAGTATGTCAGGTTAACTATGACTGGTAGTTGAATTATTGTGGTTTGTTGCAAGACAAATTATTGTCATGAACCGACACAACAGTCAGCCTAGAGCAGCGTGCACGCATGAATGCCCCAGCATTGACCACGGCAACCCTAGTGGCAGCTTTTGTCCCTGTATGAAACTATGGGCGAAGTTTTGTGACCAGAAGAGAATTGAAAGGCTTTGATAAAACTGCCCACCTTAGACATTAAGATAGCGAGGAGTACTTGCTATCCTGCACTGTATGCCAGTGTTCTGTTTCTCTAAAAGAAGTGATAGTCTGGCTTCAATTTTGAGACATCACTCCAGAAATATTTAGAGCATGCCGTGGGAATGTGGTACTGCTCTAGTGGTGATGAATAAGTATTGCTCCTAAAGTATTGCTCCGAAAAAAAAAAAAAAAGAGATCTAGACCTGTGAGAGACACGCAGCACGGTTACAGATAAAGCTGTGATTGGGAAGAGAGGAGCAGCCTTTCGAGAGCCCGTTGTAAGTTCGCTTCAGGCGACTACTGCAAGTACAGTATCAAGGTATCTGCCATGTCGTAGTTTTGCAAAGGAGGAAAATGGCCACCATGACATTATTCATCATTCTGCGGAGAAGGTAGGTACCTCTATGTGTTTGCAAGGCATTGTGTGTACTTTGTTGATGCTGTGCCTAAAGACGAATCATGGCCGAGCTCTTTGTTATGGGGGGAACCATTGTAACATGGCAGCTGCATTGTATGACACCTTGTCTTGTCGTATTCTTCTATCATACTATATTACATCCCTAAATGAGATTCCTTGCGGGACATGACACTTGCATGTGCTCTTGTTGCGAGGGAGTTTCAAGCACTGGTGTAGATCTGCGGCAAAATACTCAGCTGCTGTGCAGAGGGCCTGGAATCGAATTCTGCTCAATCCTGAATTTTTTTCTTTATTGTACATAGTAGTGGTTACGTACGCTGGCAACATCAGCAGATAGCTAAGCCAGGAAAATCATCTGTTGTGATTGCATAACAGCTGGTGCTCTAAAAAAGCACCATGGAAAGCAATTGGGTGAAACTTCTCCTCATTGGTAAAATGTAACCATTACACATATACACTTATGCTCACGCTAAAGCTGTGATTGGGAAGAGAGGAGCAGCCTTTCTAGAGCCCGTTGTAAGTTCGCTTCAGGCGACTACTGCAAGTACCGTATCAAGGTATCTGCCATGTCGTAGTTTTGCAAAGGAGGAAAATGGCCACCATGACATTATTCATCATTCTGCGGAGAAGGTAGGTACCTCTATGTGTTTGCAAGGCATTGTGTGTACTTTGTTGATGCTGTGCCTGAAGACGAATCATGGCCGAGCTCTTTGTTATGGGGGGAACCATTGTAACATGGCAGCTGCATTGTATGACACCTTGTCTTGTCGTATTCTTCTATCATACTATATTACATCCCTAAATGAGATTCTAAATGAGTTCTGAGTTCGATTCCCCGATCAGTAAAACTTGTGCTCGAGCTGTGAAGGTTTTTTTCCAGCACATACATGTCCTCTGCAGCTTGATGGTACTACATGTAAATGACAATCCGTCATTGCTGTAACAAAAATAAAATATATTTTTAAATAAATTGCAGTTCTTATGCATGATGCTGCTAATGCTGCCTGGTTTTAATATTTAAAAAACAAAACAGCTTTATTTTTATTGGACTTGTTATTTACAAGGTTATAAGTGCAGAGGAAATTGATTACACCAAATCAGTAAGGTTGTAATAAGGGCAATATTCCAGCTTGATGCTACTGTCCAGTCACCTGTAGGTGACTGAAAAGCTGTTGCCCATTGGCAGCAGCTTTTCTCTGTTGCAACTTTTAAACCTGTTAACTTGAAGTTACAATTCTCAGTGTTCTCGCGTTTTGAGTTGTCAGTTAATCTGGCATCGCTCTGCAATCTTCCCATCTTCTGGTTAACTCAAACAGTACCTAAAGTGACTATTCTGGTAAGACATCAGTTCTGAGTTCGATTCCCCGATCAGTAAAACTTGTGCTCGAGCTGTGAAGGTTTTTTTTCTAGCACACACATGTCCTCTGCAGCTTGATGGTACTACATGTAAATGACAATCCGTCATTTGATTATATACAAAGAAACATGTGGTGTTTGTGAAGGGAAGACACTGAGGCATTATTACATTGTTCTGATGTCTTTAGTACGACACATCCATAAAAAAAAATAAAGCATCTTCAGAAGCATAAAGCTGACAGACAGTATGAGACACTTATATCTCGGTTACATGTGATGCCAAGACAAATGCATGCAGGAAATGGTATTCACCTTTCTTATTCTGGCAAGCTCATGCAGCAAAAGATTTACAGAAACAAATGTAATAATGACTAATGTCTTTCATAAATTTATTTCTGCTCTATTCTTTCCACAATATTGCCCACAAGTTGCATAATTAGTGTGCCACAATGCATGTACTTTGTTCATGAAATAAAATGCAGCATTAAAACTTTTAAGTATAACGACTGGCATGAGCTATTGCTCAAGATAGTCATGCCACATTGCTACAACTTTGGACACTTATGGAGATTTTGGCTCTGATGCGAGTGTACAAACCAATAGCGCTGGTGTAACAAGAACTGAACACAATGGAAATGAAGGTATGGACTGTGCTTAGCCCTAAGTTGATGCATTTCATTCCGTGTGCGCTGTACATGGCAAAGAGTGGCTTTCGGGGGCATCAAATCCTTGTGCGGGAATGCTTTTTTATGTTCTAGCCAATGCACTTGCGAACAAAGTGATCAAATCTTTGCTTACCGCAACATAAATAGCATGCCAGAATGCACCCTGTAGTCGTACACATAGTTGTCCGTCTACTGTAGAACAATGAAATGTAGTAGCCATTAAAAAAATGTTTTGGCACATCTGTCACAAGCAAGAGCTCAAATAACCTGTCGTGTGTGTGTCTCTTCTACTAATGTTCCATCTTTTTCCACATAACCAACTCTCTGTACATCTTAGGGGAGATTTACAGTTAAGCATATCTACAGGCACAGGATATTTACAAATGCAAATGCAGTCTTGGTCCCAAGCAAAGGAAAGATTGGTTGGTTGGATTTGGTCTCAGTTTCAGCGTAAACAATAGGATTATCGGGCGCCTCGGTAAACAGCTAGGCACTGTGCTTTTAAAACAAGTTTAATTTCCACGCTGACGAAATTTTTAATGGAATCTTGTAGTATTTGTACAATGTTTTTTTGGCTCCCCGATTAAAAAGAAAGTCTGTGTAGAAGGGTATTTTGTCTGGTAGCTTGCATTCGTAATGAACCTTCTATTGAGCACAGCTCACAAAGTAAGGTTCAAAATTGGGACATAGAGCTTTTTTAAGGCATATACAATCACTGTAAATGTTAAAGCTGAATATCAAGCACACATACACTGTCATCGACGATTGTATAAAACTTCACATCAAATGGCTGACTTAGTCTGTATTATTGACATGTTAGGGTATTTAGTCTTGCTTTTATATATTTTTTTCCCATCCTAGAGACGAAACAGAATCTGTTTATGAAAAGACACATGATCATCTATGCACTGTCCACTGCAGTTCTAAGGACACACTACAGAGCAGTCACGAGCACAGTCTTTCGCTGTTGACCACTTTTGCACAAGTTGGTGCGCATGTGTCTTGTAAGCACAAGCAGAAATGCGGATGTGAACTGAAGACGATGATGTCAGGCATATGCGGTAAGTTCTGAGGTCCTGCTGAATATGCAGCATTTGCACAAGCCTGCAAAGCAGTGTCATCGCCATGTCTTTGTCACACACTCAACACTAGGAGCATTAACGGCACTAATAGACGACGCTTACGGGCTTGACATGGTTATGTGCACACCTACTTTATGCCCCATGCTGTCAAGGCACAGTCATGTAGTTTCTTGCTTTGTGGGGAAAGTCTGTACCCCTGTAGTCTTGGTTCACACAGCACAGATTGACTGCACCTTGACTCCAAGGAGCAATTGTTCTTGATGCTTCGGATGTGTATTGTGATCCACTGCGTTTGCTACAGAAATGCGCACTGCAATTCACTTGCCGAAGAAAATAGGACCATGTTTCTGCGAGTCTTTCTCACTCAATCGTGAGCGATGCTTTGCAACACGCTGTCAGGATTAAGCCATGGCACTTTTCAATTCACAGCTGTCTGCTTCTCAGGAACTGTTCAGTAGCTAGGGGCACACCGAGTGCTTAGATGATGCTTGACTGCACCTGCGCCCTTTTAATGTGGTGGGTGCTGGCCATCATTCTATGGGTAATTACTTTGCTCTTCTAAGGCTGGGCGTGCATTGTCCATGAACACTGATGGTGGCAGGATGCCATTCAAGTTGTCTGTAGCTGAAAGTTCTGCTAGTCCATCCTTTTCCAAAAGCTACTGGACTCCTCTGCATGGCAGTAATTATCATGGCAGGGAAAATGCTGTTTAAAGGCACTTTATTGTAGATGTACCAATGCAGTCTTGCCACTGCAGTCTTGCCTTGGAACTTTGGCGGTTTGTACACACAACAAGCCCACAGAAAGGACTTAGGCAAGCTTTATGTAGAGGGATTTAGAATCGCACCCCTTTAAGGCACGTATGCACTAAACACAGCTGTGGCTGGTCCCCTTCCGGGCACAGTTTGCTCAGCATAAGATGTGATGAGGCACTTGGCGTAGATCACAACTTTAACACTGTTACATTGCATCCTTCTGCTTAAAAGTCTGTGGGACTGACAGAAGATATGTTCATTGCTGGAAAACATCACCGAGTTTGCGCATCTTCAACCCTTATACGAAATGCAAGCCCCAACAGTTTGGCTTCAGATTGCAGTCAACAAGCTGCAATCCTGTCCACTGCGGGTCTGCCCATGGCATGATGTCCTTGCAAGTTTAGCAGATGTTCTCCGGCCGCTTGTCTTTCAGGACAGCCTCAGAAATTATGGTCCGAGTGTATCTGTGCCCTGAAGCCGTTCCGCTTGATGGTAGCCTCTTTTTGGAACTTTCCTCCGGGTGATGTTGTGAGGGTGGAGAAGTTGTTCTTGTATTGGGAGTGAGGCACATAGGTGTTGCCTTCTGCCTGTACCAGTGGTGTCCCCAGGTGTTTGGGTGCCAGGGGGTCACGGCTGTGGTGTCGTTTGGTGTAGCGGTACATAGCCAGTGCACCCACCAGCGCACCCAGAACGAGGCAGGTAATGCAGGCTCCCACAAGGTGCTCTGTTCGGATTCCACTGCCTCCACTGTCACGTTGGTCCTCCAGACTTGGTAGTACCGAAACTGCAGAATAAAAACGATGTCCATTACACGCTGCTTACCTGCATATTCATGTTACACGCTGCGTGGCATGTTACAGGCTGTTTACATGGATTATGTCTGTTACATGCATGTTTTCATCATTGTTACTCTTACTTGCATTCAATGATAAGCAGCATAGGATAAGCACAGTCAAGCAAATGCACATGCCTTTGTTATTTGATATATTTATTAGAGGAATACATGCTTATATAGCTTGAATAAAATTGAATAGTCTTTGGCTTACCTTTCACATATCAAAAGTTTTGTTATGTGTACATTTGTTATGCTGAGCCTTAACTTATTATTCGTTATGTGAGCTGAACTGGAGATCTGACCAAAATTGTGCAGAAGATAGGCCAAGTAACTTGTACGTTGTACCAAGTGGTGTCGTTAGAATTACACGTTTGGGTGACTCTTCTGAAGAGCATGGCAGGCTAAAGAAAGTGTGTTGAAGAGGAGTCCGGACATCATTATCACGTTTGACTTTTAAAGGTGTATCTGAAGGGCTTCCCAGTTTCTGACTACTAAAGAGGCAACTGACATTTTTTTCAAATTACTGCAACACTAAAAACAGATAGTAGGTATGAAACAAGATTACAAGGGCAGCACCTGTCTTTGTAATCTTGTTTTATCCTTGTTCACTTTTTAGTGCTGCAATAATTTGAAACGATGTACCAACGTGCCCAACTCGCCGCTTTAAGCAGCTGACATTGTTCACATTGTGATTACAGACTTGTAGGTTTCAGCAAGTTACCAATGTGCCTGTGCTTGCAAACATGGAGAATCACAAAGCAGCACATGTTCTGTCACTTCATGTACATATCGCTAATCATGAAATATTTTTGGCTAACAGTAACATTCGCCGAGAAAAGTCCTCTGAATGTGGCAATTCCGAAAAATCTCAAGCACAAGTTTGCCCAAGTATGCTGCAAATGCATGATCTGTTTTGTGTGCCTGTATACGTGCTCAACTGACTGCTCCGGTCATAAATGACTTGATAATTTTATGCCTGACGTGCTGCCTTGTTGAACACTTTTGTGAGAAGATATGCAGAGTTCGGATATTTTGCTGCTATGCTTAATACCTAGCACATGCTCTGGCCTTTTGCACCATCTGCCAGTTACACCACTCGTGACCATGATGCACAAACATGTCCAACAAAACTGGGCACATTGTTGGGGTCATGCCTATTTAGCTTACAACTTCAGTTTCTGGTTACTACTATCAGATGCACCAGATGATAATGTTGATCAGAGGATTACATGCCGGTGTAAATAGACCTGCCCAATGTACACAAGCAGCAGCTAGTCACTACTATAACTATGTGAAGCAGGTCACATATGCCCTCCCTATGTTTCATGCTTGCAAGCTGCAAGTGAAGATTGAAAATATGCAATATAGAAGGTCTTCACTGACAACTATTGTATTCTTCTAGCTCTATAATGTCAGGATTCGCACTGTGGAGCTTACGGAAGAAAGCAAGCTCACCCGTCTCTTGGCCAGCGATGCACATGCGGCTTTCACGAGTCGACCCACGGCACTGAGTTGGGTTGGGGTCGAGAATCATGCATGTCCGTCGACGATGCTGCTCATTGTTGTGGTCGCACAGTGACCACACAGACCATTCAGTCCATTCTTCCTCCTCAGGCTCTGCACAGAAAAAAAAAAAAGCATTTTCGGCTATCACCTTGACTACTTCTCTTGTATGCAGCATAGCATGAACTTGTTTTTAATCGTACAAAGCACACGGGCAACCACCCGCGGCTCCCTAATATAAGTTGATGAGTTGTGATGAGCCCATTTATTTCAAACTACACTTCTGTGCCCATGCTCTTTCAGGGAAGTGTTGGCGACATACTAGTTTCAGCAACATAGCTGGCCTTCTCTTACATTGTGTTGCCATGAGAAGATGCATTCGATTAATTAAATTTTATATCTGTTGTGGTTTTGGTGTGATCACCAGAAAAAAACTTTTGCTCATAACAAACACGTAGACGACGTACGCGAAATGGCTTCAGTGCACTTGAATTATGCTCATTAATGCATGCACAATCTTCTGCAGTGATGTTGCTGTTACGTGTTTCCTTGTGGAGGACAAAATCCAGAGCTGTTCAGTAAAAAGAGAATCTGTTAGAATGATTAATTTTGCTTTTTTGTGCTCTGTTCAGAGACTTGACACACTTGAAGTCACAAGGTAAGAGGGTGAACTCGTAGGACAATGCTTAATCTTTGTCATCAGCCTATATCAGTGCACCATGTTTGTCACCAGTCTATTTCAGTGTACTGTACTTCAGTGACGAAATCACAAGAAAATCGGAAATCAGGCAAAAGCCCCCTCTGAATTGCTGTGATTCTGCAATGCTAAATGCACTGTCGAAGAGCACTGTGCTCGATGTCAATTTGCTGCTCATAATCATACTGCGATTTTAGCATGCAAAATCCCAGTATTCAATTTAACATCGGCACATGTGTTGGAAACATGCACAGATGTGTTCTGTTGCTGTCATGCAGCCACTGTATCAATTTATCCAGTCACTGCTACCAGAATCACGGACGTTTCAACTGCATATAAAACACACTAAAAACAAGGGTGTCTCCTCAGTTATATTCCTTTTCCACATGGCATCGCTTATCCGAAAGTCACCGTGTTACATTTCAGATCGTGGTGGAGATAAAACAGCATGCATTAGGAACTCCTTCATCATTGCAGTACTCACTCAAAGACGGACAGGGCAATGTTGCGTTGCATGGCACCACCTCAGTGGCATCGCCCTGGCAGACTCCCGACTCGGTGCCCGAGCCAGGTTCTCTTAGGCATGTGCGTGTGCGCGTTTTGGTGCCGCCACCTCCACATGTCACGGAGCACGCGCTATATTCCGACCAACAGGACCAGTGGCCTTTGCCGCGCAGAAAGCATGGCAGCGAAAGGCAATAGAGGAAGAGGAGAATGGAGAAAGAGAAGAAGAAGAAGCCAACACCACAATCAAGCCTCCAAGCAGCACCCACAAGGTCCAGTATTGCGCGCAAACATAATTGCACTAAACTAACTGTTAAATATGCTACAGCACGTGCAGGCTAGTCTTGTCCAGTTAATTCTTCTTTATCGCAAACTTTTGGCCTCTGTTAATTTAATTATTCCAACTTTGAATAATGACAATTGCTATATATAATGAAAAGGAGGACCTGAGAAATATAGGCAAATCCAGGTTTCATGTATGCACCCATCAACTTGAATTCGTTACTTAAATCAAAATGCCACATGACACTAACCATTGAATTACGGTACATCAAGAAATAATACGTAGTCTATATACCTTGTGCCAGGACTACACAAGCATGACCTATTGGCCGGGAAATGAGACAAACGACACATCGTCACTGAAGTGCTGCTAACTATCATTGAGTGTTTGATAACCATTCTAAACAGTCACCATGGCAATAAAGGAGGCTCCAACAGCTCATAATTGATTAGGGTGCAGGCTAACCATTCATAAAAAGGCAAGCAGCATTGCAGGCATCATGCAAATGTTTGAAAAGAACGTACGCATTCAGAAAGCAGGCAGGGCAGTGATCAAGATGGTGCATGAAAGTGTTGCCAATGGGTTGCAGTGTGTGCTGTTACTCGGAGAGTGAACTGCATTGATTTCGGACTAAATAATTCACAATGGTCGCATACTTTGGCTTATACCGTCCCAAGTTTTGTTAAATTTGCATCACCTTGGCTGGCACAGTGCATCATCGTTGTTCGCATGACCACTTCTGATCATACACGTAGCGACTTGACGTGGCGTTATCGAGTAATCACACATGTCAAATGTTCCACACACTATGCATTCTTCCCGGAACAATGTTCAATTATAGCACATTCCACATTCTATGATCATTAACATGGCAGGGGAAGGTTATTCTACTTAAGACTTCATTTAGCAAAACTCTGCAGTCATGTTATGTCATCACTTAAAGAAGTAATGAGACTGTGCTCTAAAGTTAGTCTTATGATTATCGTGATTTTTCATGCTTTTCTCGTGGTATTGCACCATTACAGCTCAAGTTACATGGTTTGAGAAAGATTATCATGTCTAAACCCACATTAACTCTGTGTAATGGTCTAATGTCTTAATGCTCCATGCATGAAATGCATAGCAAACAATGACACTTAGCAGTGCTATAGTATTAGCTCTCTTCTGGTATTTCAAGTGATTTTCCAGATTTCACATCCACTTAGACATTCGAAGTTTACTGTCATTATTTCCTGCTTCGGAAAAACCTTGAGGACATTGCTGTAAACATAGTTAAGGCGTATAGCGAAAGCAGGACTGGTCTCTACACTTAATAAACCTTTAGGGTGTCATAATGTAGGCAGATTTATAAGGGTGGTAGGCTCCGAGCCAACAAGGTGAACTGGGCCTATAGGGCTCTATAAAATGAAAACAGTAGTTAACAGTGTTATTTCTTGCACAAAATGCAGCTGGCGACCCGCATGCAGTTATTACATTCATGTCCACGCATTTATACATTCTGTAGTACGGTTAGAGGTCACATAACCGAAGATAAACTGGACAGGCAAGGACAAGATAGACTGGACGTAGCCAGTGCTCACTCTGAACTGGCTGGCAAGTCTGTCAAAAGCTGTTGTAGTACTTCTTATCATTGCCTCTTCCTTTTTCTAATGTTTTTCTGCCTTCTATTAAAGACCAACTGCAACAAAGTTTTGGTTTGCTTAACCTAATTATGAGTCAATAGTATATACTACTGCAGCAGTCTTGGTAAGGCCACAGTGCTTGTAACAGGATAGCATTTCTCAGTAGCAGCCTTCAAACAACCTTAGTAGACAACATATGCACCTAGGTAATTGTCGCAATGATGAGGGCCAAGCCTTGTTGTCCCCGAAACGCCTCAGCGCCCCTCTCATCTGGAAGGTCACATTAAGGAACCATGCATATTAGATATCAGTGCTCGTTTGTTCAGTCTCGGTACCAAAAATGGCAGTTTTTCTTTTTGTGCTAACTTTCCATAGTGCTCGCGCTCGTATCTAACGCTCGTATCTAACGCTCATATGGGAGGTTTTGCACGAAGGCTTTTTGGTATCCACACGATCTGAAACTAAGATTTTTGTAGGGCCTAAAATTTTCTTGAAGTTGGTCTTTGAGAGACGAACGAATGAGCCAAACAACAGTTGCTGTCCAGCACCCATGCTTACTCTGGCACTGGTGGACATTACAGTCTCGCTCCTCCTTGGAAGGGCCCTGACAATCGGCGCCCGTCCCAGATGGCCGTGGGTTGTCGCAAGTCCTTTCCCTGTACTGGACACCACCTCCACAAGGCACTGAGCACTGGGACCACTCGCCCCACTCTGACCAGTCACCATCAATGTTCAGGTATGCTGCACAGTTTTAAAGAACATTTAGCAACTGAAGTGAAAATGTTGCAATACATATATGTACCACACAGCCATAATTCATTCATATATCTGCAGAGATGACGGATCAGAGAACTAGTGAGTTGGCAAGCTTCCTGGACCCTCAGAACCAACCGATAATATGGCCAAGGAAAGCACAAGGGGCGTTATTTTTAGTTCTTAGCCAAAATGTGCCTCGAGTGCCAGTCCCCCAGCATTGACATTTTGTGCCTGTGTTTAAGAGAAATAAGCTCCCTGAGTTATTCCCTTTCTTTTGTTTGTGTAGGTGTAAAGAGATTGAAGCTATATTTAGTGATTGTGTCCTGAAACTTTAACCAAAGCAGTGTTTTTACAACAGTATTGGCCGTCTTTCCATACTACTGAAAGCACATCTTGTTGTGGCTTTAGGTGTAGCATTCTGGGTGAGTAGAAGCCCTTGTGAAATACCATGAAAGCTGTTCCTAATGGCTTTGAGAGGATACAAAATTACGTGTCATGTACACATATGCACGATATGGAAAGGGTTTCTGTCACTCAGTCTCTTGGTTGTGAGTTTAGGTGCCACATATGACTCTACTATAAAGTAGTTTCCCTGTTTAACGGTCATTTGCCTGGTGAATGCAGATAAGCAGGCATTTCTTATAATATGCTGTGCACAATTTCTATGCTTCGTGGGCACTTTCAACTTGATTTTTCTGAGGATAGTACATTTTTCGAGTTTCTCACCAGAGTCCATGCAACTTTTTGCCGACTCGTGACAGTAACGCTCCTCCTTCTTAACGTTTCCGACCCGGAGCATGGAGCTGTCGGCAACGTTAGCACGGCAGGTGAATCTGAAGCGCTGCTCGAAGTATCCGTCCCGTGTTGCGTTGACACGAACCCACGCTGTCCAGTTAGAGCTCTTGCGCGTCTCAGGGCAGGCATGTGTGTTGCAGGCGCGATAGTCTGTGTCACAGCCACCGCCGCAGCCTTCACGACCACGAGGAGAGTCACAGCGTCGTCGCCGCCACTGGAAGCCACTGCCACACTGTGCTGTGCATTCGCTCCAAACACCCCACTCTGACCAGGCACTCTCACGGGTGGCAGGTGTGGCGGGAGCTGCATGGAAGTAGTGAAGGTGGCGTGAGAAACTCGGCAATTTTCACCCAGGGTTTGTCCACAAAGAGACTGGGTCTGGCTAGAAATCCATTGATGGGATCGGCACATATTATGAAAACTTTTGATAATATATTCATATTGGAACAGTGCAAAAAACTATGCACAAGGAAAAACTTGACAACTCTTTGTGCTGTTTCAATATGAGTGCAAACCAACTAGCCCAACTCTCCCTTTTGCTGTTTTTCAAAATAGTTTTCTTAGGCGTCAATACACTGAGTGCAATCCATTTACCATGCTGCAAAGACTCCCCGAAAGCTGGCTGCCATGGCCTCTCTCTCAGAGACTCTGTGACAACTCATTGAATGGTGAGAATATCATTGAAACGATGGCCTTTCAGGTCTTCCTTGAGACTTGGGAACAGGAAGTAAGTCTGCAGGGCTCACATCAGGGCTGATGCAGTCCTTGCACGGCACTGATGTGAGCGCAGCAGACTTCTTGTTCCCAAATGTCAAGAAAAACCTGAAATGTCACTGTTTCAACAACGTTCATACCATCCAGGGCTGTCACAGCCTTGGAAAGAGGTCATCGCAGCTGACTCTCAGGGATCCTTTGCAGCGTGGGAATCACATTATACTTTAAGTATCAATGCTGAAGAAAACTATTTGCAATAATATAAACTTGGGGGTGTGCGAATACTCAACCTTTGAATATTTTGCAAATAGTCTTACTATTTGATTCAATTCTGCCAGAAATTTTGACTATTCAACGTATTCGAACTTCCGAAAAACAGGCCCCTTGAAATTTTTTATATGCTTCACCCCACTATATTGTCGCACTGCGGCAAAGCTGCCTTTCAAACTCTGTTATGGTAGCAAGTAGTATTGCTGCAAAGCTGCCTTTAGGGCGATGCTACCGTTGTAAAGGGATCCACTCACAAAAGCGCTGGTTCGAATCTATGTGGCAGAGGTGGTGGCTTTAATTAATGTCATTTCAGACCTAAATGTTTAAAAAATTGGATGAAGATTTTTAGCATCCGACTTTTCAGATGTTTTTATGCATTGACATCTACAGGGCAGATAAGCAACTACGAATTCGAAAGGAGTGCTTATCCACGAAATCAGCTGGGCCTCCAGAAAAGTTGAAGAGGTGGAGACAAAAGAGCTTTCCTTTCACATGTAAAGTGCTATTGACACCATGTTTGTTGCATCAAATCATGTAAATAAATATTACTCGGCCTCCGCATTGCCTCATTATCGATAAAACAACTAGGCAACACGATCACTCCAGCACTTCATCAACCTGGTCAAAAGAAACAGTTCCATGTTCCTACCTCATAAGAATGTGCATAAGGTTCTATCCTCTGCAATCTTATTTCTGTAATTTCACTTCGAAGTATTCAAAAAATATCAAACAAATATTCCACAACTATTTCAAAAATATTCAATTCAATTAGCACTCGAATCCTAATATGTATTCAAATCCACCTTGCACCAAAAATTTTGCTATTCAAACAGCTCTAAGTTTAAGTATGCATACCAATCAGGTCAATAAATTCTTTTCACCAGACCCAGTTTCATCACCACCTTCGATGCTTTTTTGTTGTTGTAGCAGCTCTTGTTGTTGTTGTTGTAGCAGCTCCCTCTTGTAACTATTATTTGTAGTTGACTTATTTCTGCTTGACCCTGCTGTTTACTCATTACGATTGTAGCTTCACATTGTTACGGAAGGGCACACAGAGAAACGATGTGACAGTTGGGATATATTTGCACGACGCCAAGCCTAAGCCCAGATGGCAAGCGAGAGCGTGCCCCACTTCCCAGAATCACGTCGTCTTTCTCGCTCTCTGTCTTGCTTCTTCAGCATGACATAGTCTTGTAAAATGACCGCCGGATGCAGAAGCACCGTCTCAGTGCTTTCTATGGTGTTGCAGAGTGATCGAGCTTAAGGTGGGAGACATGAACAATGTCTGTAGACAGTGCAGTGGAAGGAGATGACGACTTTAGCGGGGCTATCTCGTAGGTAACGTCGGTCGCCTGGCGCAAGATGCGGTAGGGTCCCGAGTACCGGGAAAGCAGCTTCTCAGAGAGACCAACATGCCGAGTCACGGTCCTCAAAAACACAAGGGAACCCGGGTCAAAGGAAACATTGTGATGATGTGCATCGCAGAGTTGCTTCTGTTGCTCTTGGGATGCTAAAAGGCGCTTCCGAGTGCGTTGCGAGCTCTGGTGATAGTGTCACGGGTGAATCGACAGTTGTTGGGAAGACGGTGTAGAAAGGTAGAGTTGGGTCGCGGCCAAATAAGAGATAGAATGGTGAAAACCCAGTGGTCTATTGGCATGAGGAGTTGTATGCAAATGTAACAAAGAACAATGCAAGGTCCCAATCTATGTGGTCAGAGGAGACGTACATGGAGAGCATATCAGTTAATGTCCAATTGAATCGTTCAGTAAGGCCATAGGTTTGTGGATGGTAAGCCGTCGTAAATTCATGTTTGGTTTTGCAAGAACGAAGCAGGTTGTCAATAACTCGGTAGAGAAAATAGCGTCCACAATCTGTGACGAGTTGGCATGAACCACCATGATGGAGGATGACATCGTATAGAAGGAAATCGGCAACATCTGTGGCACAGCTGGTTGGCAAAGCCCGTGTGATGCCGTACGGGGTTGTATAATCCGTAGCGACAGCTATCCATTTGTTTCCAGAGGTAGACTCAGGTAAAGAGCCTAGGAGGTCAAGACCAACTTGAAAGCAGGGGTCAGTAGGAAGATCAAGTGGCTGGAGCAGTCCAGCAGGACTCATAGGGTTTTTTTTTTTCGAGGTTGGCACTGGTAGCATGCGACGACGTAGCGGCGGACGGAACGATAAAGTCTGGGCCAGTAAAATCGACCCTGAACGCGGTCGTAAATCTGAGAGCGACCAAGGTAACCGGCGGTAGGGGCGTCATGGAGCTGGGCGATAACACTCGTACGTAGGTGAGAAGGCACCACAAAGAGCAGGTAGTGCCCATTTGTGTTGACATTGTAGCGGTACAAGGTGCCTTCTTTAAGCACAAATCGTCGAGTAGACGGATGGGGCGTCGGAGAGTTCAGCTTCTCAATAATGTCGCGCAAGACGGGATCTCAGCGCTGTTCATCACGGATGTTGCTCAAAGCAGATGGAGAGAGCACACATGGCGACGCTTCATCGAAAGTCTCAGGGGATGGTGGGACAAGCAGTCAGCATCATGGTGTAAACGTACAGATTTGTAAGACACTGAGTAGTCATATTCTTGGAGCCGTAGTGCACAGCGACCAAGACGCCCAGTGGGATCCTTTAACGACAAGAGCCAGCAGAGGGCATGGTGATCAGTTGTGATGGTGAAACGGCAACCATGTAAGTAGGGCCGAAATTTGCCAACCGCCTTAACTAGAGCAAGGCATTCCCATTCGGTGATCGAGTAGTCCCGCTCAGCTGCAGAGAGCAGACGGCTGGCATATGCAATAACGCGGGTGCAGTCGCTTTGATGCTAGACAAAAACAGCATCGATTCCAAGGCCGCTGGCATCAGTGCGAACTTCTGTTGGGGCGGACATGTCGAAATGGGCCAGGATAGGTGGTGTTGTGAGCAACGTGATCAGACTAGAGAACGCCATAGTCTGCGCAGCGCTACAAGAGAATGGAACATCCTTCTTCAGCAACTCCGTAAGAGGTCGGGCCACGTCCGCAAAATTGTTTACAAAACGTCGGAAATAGGAACATAAACCTAAAAAGCTGCGGACTTCCTTAGTGCTGGTAGGGACGGGGAAGTTTTCGCACAGCTCGAACTTTATCAGGATCAGGGTGTACGCTAGAGGAGTCGACAAGATGGCCCAACACGGTTATTTGCTGCCGTCCGAAGTGGCACTTCGATGAGTTCAGATGCATTCCTGCGTTACGAAAAACAGAAAAGATGGAGGAATGGTGGTTGAGGTGCATTTCAAAGGTCGGGGAAAATACAATGACGTTGTTGAGCTCATCATTCGTTCAAATGTGGCTGGAGCATTGCATAATCCGAGCGGCATGACCTTAAATTGGTAAAGACCATCAGGGGTCACAAAAGCAGTCTTCTCGCGATCCATGTCCCGTGTTACTTCTACATAGGCTGCGACACCTACAATGCTCGAGCACTGAACTTTGATTCACCAACTTCATGGAAGACATTGATTTATTTGTGGGGTTCAACGTCCCAAAACCACCATACCATTATGAGAGACGCCGTAGTGCAGGGCTCCGGAAATTTCGACCACCTGGGGTTCTTTAACGTGCACCCAAATCTGAGCACACGGGCCTACAACATTTCCGCCTCCATCGAAAATGCAGCCGCCGCAGCCGGGATATGAATCCGCGACCTGCGGGTCAGCAGCCAAGTACCTTAGCCACTAGACCACTGCGGCAGGGCCCATGGACTAGAAAATGGCTCAACTATGTCTTTGGCGAGCATCTTGTCCACTTCTTTTTGAATCATCTGACGCTCCGCAGGAGAAACGCGGTATGGCCGTCGATATTCATCGCCGGTTTTAATGCGGTGCTTCACAATGCTGGTTTGACCTAGCGGATGGTCACAGAAGCCAAATACGTCCAAGTAAGATTCCAGGACGTGACGGAGCGTATCAGTTTGATGCGACAAAAGGTCCACCACGATCGTTTTTTCCACACAAAAAGATGGACTCTCTGCCGAAAAATAGACTTGCGTGCAGTTGGGGCGATGCACATCATTGGGGTACAAAGCTGAGATGACACAATCCTCGGAGGTTGTCTGCATGGCGAGGGCTATTCCACACTGAAGTACTTGCTGACACAGAGCAAAGTTCAGCAAAGGGATGCAAGCACGATTTTCCCATAACGGAATAATAGTGTGCAGAAAAGTAACACTGTGAGTCAGAAGGACGGATGTAATGGGCGTGAGTACGTAGCCTCCATCAGGCACAGGTGGCGAAGCTGTTACGGCAATGCAGGCAACTGTTTGCGGTGACAAACGGACATGTTCAGCAGAGCAGAGACGAACTTGGGGCGGACTGGGTGTATCAGTCGTACAAGGCAGGCCAAGTTTCACCATGCCAGCTGAAAAGTCAGTGAAAACCGAATGGGCGAACAAAAAGTCTAGACCGAAAATAACATCATTGGTGCAGTTGGTGAGAACAGTCATGAGGGCGGGGGTTTGATGGTCGGCTATATAATGCGTGCTGTGCAGACGCCAACGATGGCAGTTGTACTGCCGTCAGCAACACGAACACAGCATGGAGGGGCTGGAGTCAAGACTTTCTTTAGGCGATCACGAATGTGCGAGCTTGTAACAGAAATTTGGGCGTCGATGTCGACTAAAGCTTTAACAGATAAACCATCTACTTTTACATCAATCAAGTTCTGGTTGGTCTGGAGGGTCAACAGAGGAATTCTAGGACAAGTTGTAGCAGCAGCGTCACCTCCAGGAGCTGCACCAGTTAGTTTCCCGAAGGAAACTGTCGGGCGAAGGACGGGAATGAGGAAGGGGTGGCGGAGGAGACTGCGAAAAATGTTCGTCGCGGTGAATGCGAGCGGCTGTACTGGGCATTGGTCGTGGCGGTCATGTCATGATGAGCTGAGTCATCACGGTGTGGTGATTCTTGGCCAGAAGGGCGGGCTGATGCGTCGAAGTTCGTGAAGTTTGGCTTGTGTGTGAGGACGAGGTCAACATGCTTCAACAATGACGCGAAATGTGTCCCACTCGTTCGAACCGAAGGCAAATTGACCTGTCCTCAGGCATCCTCCATGCGTTTGGATCTCGGTTATGTGGAGCATGACGCCGGTAGTGCTCACGGGTGTTCAAGGTAGGCAGATGGACATCGAGTCGGTGCTCAGAACAGATCGTCTGAAGGCCCGCGTTTCTCAATTCTTGGCGCACAACGCTCTGTATGAGGGATATGGTGGGCTGAGGATCACTTGGCGTCAGGACTTTCAAGGGTGCGGTGACATCGCTTCGAGTTTTCATCGAACGACCCTTGAAATGTCAGCAGAAGATGGATTGAGCTGGTTCTCAAAACGGAGGTCCTCACAAGTTGATGTTTCAGTGGTGTTAGGAAGACAGGTGAAGTGGTGGGCAACGCAACGGCTTTTAGCCTCTTGAAAGCGTCGGCACTATTTAATGACGTCTTGAACTGTTGAACAGCCTTTAATTACAAGGAGGTTAAAGGCAACATCAGCGATGCCCTTGAGTACATGTGCAACCTTGTTGGCTTCGTCATAGTGGTATCAACCTTATGGCAGAGGGTCAAGACACCTCGAATATATGCCAGGTAAGACTCCATGGATGTCTGGACATGGGCACCAAGTTCTTTCTTAGCGGCCTGCTTGCACCTAACAGATTGGCCAAACAACTCGGGCAACTTCGTCTTACAGACGTCCCAGCTGGTGAGCTCTCTCACGTTGTTGTTGAACGACGCCTTGGCCATACCTTTCAAGTGAAAGATAAGGTTTGCCAGCATCATGGTTGTGTCCCACCTGTGGTTTTCACTCACGAGCTCGTAGAGTTGAAGCCACTCATCAAAGTCTTCGCCATCAGTACCCGAAAAGTTGCCAGAATCGTGGGGTAGAGTGTTCACAATGACAACAGGTGAAGTGGGCACCGTTGATGCGCGAGGCATAGCTGTTGGCGCAGCATCCCCTGTCCGTAGACATGTTATAAGCAGCAACTTGGCATCAGCTGCGAATTTTCGTCGTGCTTTGCTACCCAGCGCCTTCCACCAAATGTTACGGGAGGGCACACAGAAAAGCGAGGTGACAGTTGAAATATATTTGCACGACGCCAAGACCTAGACGAGATGGCAATTGAGAGTGCGCCCCACATCCGAGAATCATGTCGTCTTTCTCGCTGTCTGTCTTGATTCTTCAGTATGATGTAGTCTTGTAACAATATTTTTAGTATTTTATAAGCAGTATTTTGCTTTTGCTTATTTTTAAGTTGACATCATCAAAGTGAGAATACATAACAGATACAAATATCGGACATATTGTACAATGAATAATGAGGAGAAGAAATGATTGCGGCACAAATTCGATTACTTGTGTTAAATCGGTGCCTGAAACTCTTGTAAGTGCATTATGTAAATGTTATGTAATAGGCTATGAAAAAAAATAACAAAAAAAAGACTACATACAAATAGTTTTTTGCAGAAATTAAGCTGAAAACGATGAAAAGACTATGAAAGGTCTTCACAAAACATGTATACTGTTTTTAAATATGGCATAAACAACAAAACCTTTACATGATATAAGTAAGAACAGATGTGCACATATGTATAAAAAAGCAGTTTGTAGTTGGATTAGTGTAGTAACTATTAACACTATGGCATGTACATACTAAACAATGAAGTTGAGAAGATAAAAGTTGAAAAAATATTTAAGTATTATTATTATACACAAGGTGGCTGGGCTTGCTGATGCATTTTGTTACAGCTGAATACCAGCAAATATGGTGTATGACTAATGATGTATCATAATTGCATGAAGCTTTTGCAAAACTAATCCTTCTGATCGTACAAGCGTTATGTAAAAGGTTATGCAAAAAAAAACTACTTATGAATAGCTTAGTGTTACCTGGGCAGGGTGGATTGGAGGTGCAGTAGATCTGCTCTTGCTCTGGCCCAAGGCACACGCGTCCGCCAAACTTGGGGCTTGGGTTCCCACAGGTCCTACGACGGAACTTCACAGCCAGACCGCATGTTCGGGAGCATGCCGACCAGCCAGACCACTCTGTCCACTGTCCATGTTCTGTTGACAGCAGTGAAAGAGAGGAAGCTACATTATGCTACGCAAGTATTGCTTTGTTTGCTGAGCACTGACCTTCTCTATGCAGTGCCGCAAAAAAAATGGAGCCGCGAGACATTCAACAAAACATTTAATGCTGTAAATTGAATGCACAAAATCACATGATGATAATACAGGTGCGTGCACTACAGATGCGATGACAGCATCCCACAATCCACGCTTTTTCTTCATCTGCCGATCTCCGACAGCCTTACCTCATTTGGGAAAGGAGGCGTGAGAATGAAATATATCCTTACTGCATTAATACACAATTAACTATCTGTGTGTGCATTATTGCTATTTTCTTTATCACAATAAGGCATGAGCCTAAACAAAGTGTTTGAAAACAGACTGTTTTTAGGAAAGGGCATTATGTGCACCTGCCAGAAAGCAAACAAGATAAAAGGTCCTGTTCATCCTTAAATTTATCCCTAACTTACCTGTGATGTGTGGTCTATCTTTCATGGTTTCCGTTGACAGTGACAGATTTCTAGTGCATGTTTTGTCTAGAATTCCGCACACATCGTTCTTCATTTTAAGAAATTGAAAGTTTCATGTGACAATAACGAGCAGCACACAGACCTCGTGCGACATGCCCGTCATCACACCTGCAGCATAGATTTAAATGTTCCACCTAGTGTGTCACCACATTACTTGAAGAGCTGTCGAAAGGAAATAGGTAGCATTCATTAAAAGAATGTACATTACTGAATTGCTTTAGCACAGAGGTATGCTTTTCAGGTTATGCTTGTAAACATAGGAAAGTAACAATCACTACAATGTGATGAGGACCTATGTGTTGTGGCATCTATGCCAAGACATTGATTCCCAAGTAGCACACTGTCACGAAATGCGCGTGCGAGGCAAGTGATGATAGAGTCAGTGCTCTCGTCGACAGAGGAATGTGGCGGTCAACAACGGTTCGTTAGTGTACCAAAAAACCGGTCTAATGGCTCATGACAGACAGGAGACGAGAAAGAGGCAGGCGAGTGGAGGTGCCGCGGGGAGGTGAACAGAGTTGGTCAAGCCGAGGAAGCATGCGGACTACGGAACGTCGTAGGTCAGGCCACGTGGTAGCGAGCAGCCTGCCTTCATGGTTGAACTCGTGGCTTGACGGGGTGTAACCTGCGGCAGTGGTATATACCCCAAACATTTGCCCCACGACCAGCGGCCTAAGACAGCAAAGCAGCAGCCCAGAGTCCGCCAGATCGGGCCTTCAACCACGTACCAACCGCAGATAAGTGCCGCAATCAACGGCTCTTCTCTCTCGCCGGGACTTTCAAAACCTCATTTTATCCAGTGCTTCTTGATTGTTCATGTGTCGCGTTTTGTGTCTACATCTTAGTGCCGAATTTTTATGTATAACGTCGAGTATATTTTTGAGCGAATGGGCTATCTCCGGGTATTTTGGGGGAGAGATTTTCACTAATTGTGGTGTGTGCTGGGTGTGTCGCGTGAAGGAAAGTCACGTGTAGTATTTATATTGTGATTAGTCTCGCATGTTTTTATGCTTGTTATAGTAAAGTGTGCATGTGCATTTGTTTTTTATATTCGTTGTCTCTCGTCTCTTGACCTTGGTCTGTGTTCGATAAAGCGTGGACCTATCGCCGGTCAGCGGTCGAACCACTTTAGCATGCGGGGTGGATTTGTTATCTGCTCACCCCCTCCAAACGGAAAGTGTGTATCTTAGACTGAATACCCAGTAATCCCTGACACACACATTGTTGCCATAATGCTGAAGCAATGTTATGTGCTAATATTGCCTAAATACGTACATTCTCTTTTGAGTGCATTCCTGGAACATCTAAAGACAACATTGAAGCAGCATTGATGAAACATTTTTTCAACCCTGCTTGAAAGTTTGAATAGAATTGAGACAACCTCTGAGTAACTTATTTTACTCATGAAATGAAGAAAAACTGTTGGTGATGGTTCCCATTGATCACTGAAAGAAATTTACATAAGTGCTATTTTTGCCTCGTACTCACGTGTGCAGTTGGTGACTTCTAGTGATGAGCCTTCGCATGGCTTGCCACCGTTGGTAGGAGCGGGACTGTTGCACAGCCGGGATCGGCAGAGACAGTGGTCACCGGGCGAGTCTTTGCCAACTTGGTCACACTCTGCCCACTGACTCCAACTACTCCAGCCGCCATCAACTGAAGGGGGGAAGGAAATGTGAGAATGGTATACAATGGAGTCATAGATAACACTGGTTTGAGCCGCAGAACTGAAAACCAGAGATTCACAAGGGACAGGCAAGGACAGCGACATCCTTCCTTGTCTCTCCGATTCCCCTAATTTTCACTTCTGCAGCCCGAACCAGTGCTGGAAAATGATAACTACAGTAATGCTTCTGAGTAAGCTTGTCAGGCATTATGAAGGCTTAAGGGTCATAGGAAGAGCGAAATCTTAATTTCTGCAGGGACAAGTTAAGACTTCAAGGGAAAAGACTAGGCTTGTGTGAATAGTGAACTTTAGGTTTGAAGGGAATAGTGATTTTGGTCAAATAAGATTGAATCGAATGCGAATAGTATATATCCCATGTTATAAAGAAAAATGACCATATTAGTGACGACCTAACTACCCTGGACAAAATATCTAAAATTTTTTATTTTAAATATGACTGGTTCAAATGCCTTTTGTTTTTCTCTTTGTTCAAAGAAAGTGGAAAGAACATTGAATAGTAGCAGGATTTGACTTATGGTAGAATGCAAATGATAACCTGTGAAATATATTACGTTTTAATATCTACCATGCTCAGAGCATATAAGCCGATATAGCCAAAAATGATGAATCGATGTGAGGGTGATATGTTCATTAGCCTTGAAACGGAACTTCGCGACAATGCGGATTTCCAGTAAGTGTTTTCACGGCTTAGCATCCCTTCACTGCGGTGAAACCACCTTTACAAGAAGTTACAAGAGGGGTCATAAGTTTACAGGCCACTATCCAATGTATTCCTATTGCAGGGTGGCCTGCACACTTTGGCCCCCTCCTCAGTATATACAGACTGATATGCATTTAAATAGGCGCTTTCACGGCTTATCACTTCTTTACTGCAGTGAAACCACTTTAACTCAAGTTACACACAGATTAATATACACCTATTCGTTCATTTCAAATACATCAAAATTTTCATTAATTTAAATTCGAATCAAAACGAATTAAGATACCGTGATACTCGTTCAATTATTCGAAGCATTCGAATGTTCACACATGTCTAGAAAAGACCCCCCCCCTTCTCCCCCACACACTTTGGCTCTGACCCTGCGAACTACGGTATGTCAGGTTAGAACGCAGAACGAAGGAAGGAAACAAAGGCACGCCTCACCAGGCACATTGCTATTGGGGCAGCCTGCATGGTTTTGTTTCCAGTCGAGGCTGAGGGGGTTGAGGTGTGGCGCTGTCGTGCATGCCAGCTGGTGTTTGTTCCATCCGCAGTACGGGTCCATAGAACCCAGACAAGACCTGCAAAAGAAGCAGATTCGCATTTAGCACGGGATCCATTTACGACCGCATACTTTTTGGGGAATATGTATGCAACATGTACAAAGGTGTAGGCCACGAGGAATTGTTGCGGTTAAGCTTAACAACGAAATGTACATGAATCGTGTGCTGTCGAAACCTCAATACATACACATACTTTCAATCACCTTGAGTAGCGAGCCAGGTGATAAACTAGGCTAATGATTCCAAATATGTCAATTTAAAATTTTCTTCATATACATCTATACTTCGATCAGGAGTTCTGATGTACCCCAGTCATAAGTGGAGTCCTGTGTGTTTTGTCTGTGTTATGCATTATGCATAACTTAAGTGTACTGCAACAACATGTAGTAATATGTCTCCCACTTGTTGGTTCCTGCCAGGGGCACACACTATAGTGAACTGAATAATTTCAGCAGTCACTTGGTAAACTGTGTATGGCTTAGCAGCCAGGTGAACTGGTGAAACAGGCAGTCAGTAGGGCTCTTTGATTTTCTACTTCTGGCAACCCGCAGGCTGTCAGAGTTAGCCAGAGCGCGTTCATTTTTCTCGGTTTGCCCCTCCCACCATGCAGGGAATTTTAACTGGAGCTCGTTTTACTCAGGTTGGGCGGTTCTGAGAGCCCACGAGTCGCCAGAAGAGTCTAGGACAGTGCAGTGTTTTGGGGCACATCAAGCTTTGACACAATTGTGGTAACTTTCCAAACTTTCCATTTCGTGGTTGCTACCAGACTGGTGCTCCCAAGCCCCCAAAACACTTTGACTCTGTTTACTGAAGCTCAGTTCGCAACAGCATTGTATATGCAAGCAAATATGAATGCATGTTTTCTACAATGTGTAAGGCCATTCACCTCAGTCAGTTAGCTCACTGTTCATCATAATGCTGACACCCTCGCTCCTTGATTATGAATGACATGACATATCACACAAGCAAAGAAACACATCTACTTACTCTTCACTTCTGTACTGTTCGCACCGGTGAACAAATATTCGGAGCACCTCCTTTTCTGTTCCCAAGTACAGAGAGCTCTGAAATATTAATAATAAAAAGTGCTCAGTGTTACCCAAAAACTTGGGTTTTGTATTTTTCATGGCATTTTGCCATAACTTTTATCTAACACACCTTTATTGAAAAAGATCATGCAGTACTAATGCACTTTGCATTCAGTGTACTTGCTCGTCAGTTGAAAACATTTTCTAAAGCAATTGGGCTTGGTTAGAGACGGCTGAAAGTGAGATATCTAGGTTGCTAGCCGTTGCTGGTACTACTTGTGTACGTTACCTTCTCTGGTTTCTTTAATACTAATCTTGACCAAATAAGACTGAGTGCACTGTCGTCCTCACAAACTGCTGCTATTCATTCGAACTACAGATAATTTTCGCCGTGCTTTGCATGCGTCACCATCTTGGTTTGTCCATAAGAACACTTCCACCCTCTTGCCCACTTTTGGAATAATTGAAACTTGGTGAAATATCAACGACACCTCTGCAATCATTTTAACATACGTATAAATTGGTCATAATACAATGTTGTATATCATATGGCCCGGCCAATAATGCTGAATCATCCTGCACATACTCACTGTGTCCTTCAAAAGCTTCATTGTGAATATGTGCCTTTGTCTGGGCGCGAAAGGCTGGATTTCTTCGACGAAACAGGTTTCCAGAAGTCCCGGGATAACCACCAGCTTCTTGATTGCCCCTTCCAGCGTAGCCGCGAAGATGACGTGGACTCCGTCGAAGCTGTACTTTGTGGGGACAACGTCAACCGTCAAGTGAGTCAGCCTGGGAGAAAATGAGAACAGTGCACTCAGGGAACAGCGAAGTTTCGTAAACGGTAACGACTGCCATTTATCGGTGCATGGCAGGTAGTTTCAAAGAAAGTGCATCAGTGCTTATCACAAATAAGGCTTCGCTGTCGAAAAACGAAAATTTTCAAGCTCCTCTCGGTTTTGATTTAAACGAGCACAATTGAGTCTTTCTTCATAAGAAACTCCTAGGGGTTTCTTCTGTGGTTTCATACTACTACACATATGAAATGCAGTGTTTCTTTCATTCAATAAAGTTAAAAATATGCGCTAAAAAGAGGTTACTGAATAGATTTGTTCCTTCAAATTTATTACTGGCACTTGCTAGCATCTTAGTTGCATACCTTTCCAGCTCTCCAGTGTACAGGGGCCTTCGGCTTGCTGGTTGTACTGCCTCATCTGTCAGCTGGTACTTCTGCGCCTCAATGACTCTCTCGTTGTCCTCAACTGCTTTGCACTAAAAAACAAAATAAATGGTAAATTCACAACTAAAGTACGCTATTCATTTTTCTATTTTTAGCCCCAAACATTTCTCATCCATTAAGCAAACCACAATCTTGAACTCAGCAGCCACTGAGCCAACTTGGCATAGCATCAGTTTAAGCAAGAGTATGAAGAAATGCTTTGGTAAATCAAAAAGTGCATTGCCTAACTGAGCATCATGCTTTCCTTTTCATCTATTATTATTATTATTTTGTTATGAGAACTCCACAGATGAAGAAACTAGTGTGGCGTGCCCTCTGTTCCATTCTGGGCAAACAATGGGCATGGCCTTCTGTTTCATCGTGGGCGCCTTGCCATGCAATGCCACACAAGGGACAGAAGGAAACACGGCCCATTTACGACCTTTGCGGGTTTTTGTGGCCGGCCAACAAGACACGCCACAAGATGGCATGTGAACCACACAGTGTTCCTGTGCATGAGACTGCTACTGGGGTAAAGTTTCGAGTGACTGCTTTCCTTGTAAGACCCCTTGTAAGAGACACTGATATAAGAGGTGCCAGTGTGCCTACAGTAAAATAGGGATAGGTAAGAAAATGCATGCAAGTTAGCCTGCTTATAAGAGGCATCTTACGTGAAAGACAAGAATTGCTGCCCAGAGCATGCCTGTTATAAAGAGGTTCAACTGTAATATAAAAACTAACTTTGCAGGTTTCATGTACACACTGCTACATAAAACTACGACTAATTGAAATGTTATCATAAATATGATAGTAGCATGATTTATTTCAGACACTTAGGTTCAATGGGAAATTGCTCTTACGTTTTGATATCTTTAGCTTGTCCAGTGATACAGGGTGCAAGCTTTGACTATCCTTTCTGTGAATGCAGTGATTAAAATTATGCAAGAAATTCCAAAATGTAACTTAATTTGCTGTTTTACATCGTAGGAGATAACAAACAGGGAACTTCCACAAAATGAGTGCCACAGTAGTGCACTTGCATGGACAGAGAAGTTACTCTTTTTAACTGTTTAGAGACAATCATATCGCTGCCCTAGTTCGTTGATGTTCTGGATAAACTAGAACATTTCACAGTTCAGCCACTTGTACTGTGAAAAACAGAGAGGGGTGCTCATTGCAGCAGCAGGATGAAAGTGAGAGCAATCTATATACAGAAGTGCAAAGAGGCTGGCCTGTTGCTCTGCACCTAATAAAATGAACGGGTGAGGACGAAGATGTAACATGGCAGGATGAATAGAGCAAAGCACATATGTACTAGCGCACCGTGTTGCAGCATCTCTAAAGCCACGCTAATTGCTCAATGGCTTTTATAGTAAGGCTATAGCTGCTGTTATAATTGCCAGCTTGCTGTTTACATTTGGGAAAAATGGTTGTCTCTGAATGGTTGTTACTAGGGGTTAGTTCACTTAATGCACTCCAGATGTTGAATTTAAGTAAGGACTTTCTCATAACATAAAGCCAGCATACCTGGAACTGTTGGCTGGAGGGTGTGGACCGTTCCCAGGCAGACTTTTGCGTTGACTGGTACTTCAGGGGTCCCTCGAATGCGTGCTTAATGGCCGACATGTTGAAAACGCATATTGCGGAGCCGTAGATGCTGTTCCTGCAGTGATGAAACGTAAACGACACAGATAAGCAGATACACCCACCTAGTATGCAATGTATGTGATTTTTGTCCATTGGAAAGAGCCTGTTGCCTATGCTGGTGAGTATCATGTCTGACAGCCCATTTTATAGCAATGACAAAGCGGCATCTTTCAATTCTTGTTGTCTATGACCTTTTTTTCGCCTTAGGGAAGTCACAGCGATGCTCAGTAAGGCTGTATGCTCTAAGATGAAACATCACGATAATGATCATCTACTTGCACTACTTCAGCCAACATATATTCTTGCATTGCAATGCTTTTCTGATCTCTTTTCTTCCTGTCCGAACTGTCAGCCTCATCAATATTCCTGTTTAGAGTTTCCTAAACCCTAATCAATCTTCAGACGATAGTATAAGATAATTGATTGCTTGCAGAACCTACTGCAAAACATTTGTAGTATTATATTGTATGACAACAGCTATGGAAAGACATTTACCATACATCTGTAATGCTGAAGTAGGCCAGAATGAATGGATCAAACAAGAGTTGTCACTACGTATGACAGCCTCTTGTTGTGTCTTAATTGGTACATATGAACTCACTCTCCAGTGGTGAATGCTGCATAGAAGAGCTGTTCCTTCTCGAGGTAGTGGACGCTCTGAATCTCATTATAGTAGAAAGGGTAAAGGCCTGGCAGTGAACAGTTCAGCCGAGCCTTGAGGAACGTTGTCCAGTTCTCCTTGAGGATCACCTGGCCACCTTGGTCATTTTGCACACCCGGGCCACTCTTGAATACACAGCCTGTGCAGAAGAACACAGACGTGCACCGAACTTACTGTAGCAGATGTGGCAAGCTTAGACTTTTGCCAAAGATTGTTTTGCTTACACACAGATGAATGGATTTCGGTTTAAAAAAAATGGGGTTTGTGAAGCATCTGTGGGGCTACATTTGAATATTTAGGACACCAATCTCGACTTGAGTGCATTTTGAAAAAAAAAAAAAAAAAAACCAGGTGTTAAAAATTTAATGGGAGACCCGCACTACAGCATGTCTCACAATCATATTGTTGGCTTTGGTATGTGAATCCCAGAGTTCATGTAATTAATGTTCAAGGGCATAGCATGCAATATATCAATACATTCTGTGAGAGATGCAAAAGTTCTATATGCAATATAATTCATGCCTGTGTGTAGGCCCTTGCTCATATAAACCCCAGACTCTCAGTACTCATGCTTGCAGTCTCTGCTGCAGACACACTGGAAGCTCAACTAAATTTTCAAACTTTTTCATGGTGTTCTATACTGAAAAAACATGAAAGAAAAGTAAGCAATTTATTGCTAACAGTATTGTGCATTGCCAGGCAAATATTGGGGAATAAACCTTTTATTTGCAGTGCAGTGATCATAAGGTAGTCCTGTGGTCCTGTATTGTCTCGTCTTAAACAATGTTTTTTGGCCAACCACTGAGCTATTTGCATATTAAGAACAAGAAAAACAAACAAACAGATCAACAGTAACAGCTATGTTGGTGGTTTCCATAAAACCTGCTGATTAGGCCAACAGCAACATCAGATAGAGAGTAGGCATTGTAGAAAGAGAGAAAGCTAAACTCACTTTGCCACAATTCATGAATTCCACCGCAGACTCCCTGTAGAAGATGTATACGAACTCTCCAATTTCGAAGGAACCAACAAAGTTTGGCTCTGAAAAAAATAAACTTGGTTGAATAAAATGCCTCAATAATGCTTACTGCGAATAATTTGGTCTCTGTCAACATTAATGAGAGAGAATAACAAAGATAAATAAAGATACTTGAAGTTTATTATTATTATTTGTCATATATCCTAGAGTACCATTGCAGGTTATGCATGGTCTTTCCGTAAAATCTCCAAATATCTCCTGTCTTGCAGAAGCGAACCCCATGTCTCTACTTGTACATACGGCCACCTGTGCTTCTTTTTCTATTTTCATGTAACCGACCTGTTGGAAGCTTAACCTACTGCCTTGCACGCACCGTGCTGGAATGTTAAACATTATCGAATATTTTGGATTGTTCCAATAAGCCTAAACGCTCAATGCAAACATTCTGGAACTAACGCAACCACTAATCATAAGGCTGGAATCTTCGATGCCACATGTATAAATGTCAATGCGCCTTGCCGCTGATCACATAACTTAACGGCCAATGACTTGTTGCCGCTATCAGTGCACAGGGTGTATTACTTGTGCTTTCACTTTTCGTTTCCTGGAAACAGAACAGGTTCACCCAACAAAAAGTTTCATCTTCAAAAGCCTGAGTGCTGCCTTCTTCACCCTCAGGACCATATGTGACAATGTCCTCATTGCATCATTCAGACTAATCCTGTGATGTGCTCGACTGCTATTCCCATCCTTTCACAGTCACTTTGATAGACCATATTTGTTTTTCACATTTCAAAAGCTGCTCACATCTCCAACACGGCATGTGCTTTGGATAGAGCTCTCATGTGCACTTGCTGTCACATTTCATCCCCAAAACATGGCTTGTAAAGGGTAATGTAAGAAAGGGGGATACAAATGAGACACAAACCTACACAAGCAAGGCCCTACAATAAAAAACAGTACCTTCTGCGGGAAACGCAGAAAACTAACTAAAGTGTGTATGGGTTGATTATCATGCTAGTTGTATATAGCTCTATGAAATACATTAGTTTATAAAGAAATATGGGGGATAAGAGGGTAGGAGGCTGAAGTAGTCAGGACTGATGCCTATTTGAAATCAGCATGCAACATGATGGCGATATGCGAAGAGGCATGCAGCGTTCGTCCTGTAGCCTTCTCGTGTTAAAGCTTTCTCTTACGCTCGATTCAAGTGTACGGAAGTTGTATCAACTAATGAGCATTTAAAGCACATGCAGGGCAAAGGCTCTTGATGCTCTCAATTAGGGCACTTCCTAATGCTATGCATCTTGTCCCTTACTGACTGTAGAGAAGAAAAAAAGAACAGGAATTGAATACAGTGCAAAGAAGTGCTACAGTGGACTGCCTAGACAGCTTAGCATAAGGAAACGCATCCAACGCACCGCTCAGCCACTTGTGGTCATAGATGGGCGTGCGCAGAGGCCGCTCCCGGCCCATGATGCGGTACAAAGCGTAGTCTCTCGCCGAGAAGTCCAGAGGTGACGCAACATAGTAGTCGCCTTGCACTGTCATCAGCATGGTGCTGTTTGAGTGCGGGCTGTATGGCGCCTTCCCCATGCCGTCAACTTTCTCCCTCACGGTGACTAGAGAGTTGATCTGCATCAGATAGTGTGCATTTTTTTTTCACTTCAACCGCACACTTTCTTGCATTTGACTAGGCGTGTGCAAATTCTAATAAAGAACTGCACTGATCTGAGTAAACTTAGGCGTCTTCTGACTAAGGCTGATACTGAGAACTTACTTGCAAAACCAAACATAATATAAACAAGCAACACAATCATGCAACCCTCTCAAGATGGTGTCTATTGAGGGTACAGGAAGAAGCCTACTGATACATTTTGGCTTGTTAGTTGACCAGAAGGAACCAGCACATTTATTATATTCATACTTCATTCACAGGTATAGTAGTGCATAAATGTAATCATCGAAACCTAGTTCTTGACATGTCACTAGTATGTATAAGCACTTGCTCGTCCATATTGTTTGAATACTGCAAAACGCATTACTGTTATGCTATTTTTGACTATAGCCCTCTGACTTTCTATCTATTTACATATCTTCTCTGTGCTTAAGTGCCATGACTCCCACATGTCCCTTTGTTGAAACAAAATTAAAAAAAGTGAAATGCTTGTAAATTTTAGTGTTTTTTAGTTTAAAGCTTGGCATACCACAAATTAAGTAGTATTGTAGCTCTTAACAATTGGTGTGCAACGAATTACAGTGCCTGTACAGTTACATACTTTAGGTCAAGATTTTCAAGCTGAATGATACAAAGGCATTGGTTTCGAGTTTGATCCCTGGAACAATACGAAATTTTCTTTACCTCAAACCTTTCCTTTTAGAGAAAAGCTATATGGATTTCCTTGTGGTTTCGCGCTTCGAATCGGCGGTTGCAAATTATCTCTTTTGCCACCTTGTGGGATTCCCCAGAAATCGCTTGCACCACACATCAGGATTAGCACGCCGAATGTTCTCGAATGATGTACTCACGTCTCTCCAAGTGCATTCTGGAGCGAAGGCGTTGGTGCCACAGCTGAACAGTCGCTCGTTATGCGACAGCAGCACCTTGATGTAGTTTCGACAGCTCTCCTGCACATAAAATAGGACATCTTGCGATGTGGCCCAGACATCTTCGATGAACTTGAACTGACGCTACACTCGGTTACAACCTCATAAAAAAACAAAACAAATGCAGCTCTTCTATTGTGAAACCCGAAGGGCGTAGTAGGGTCAGGCAGCTATGCTCGTTCATAGAGCTTCCACTGCTTCTTTTTCCAAAACCTTGATGACGTTAATGTTTGAAGTAAGCATGCAGAGTTTTTTCAGCACAAGTATAACATTTTTAGGGACATTTGCAAGCGCGGTGTGCAACATGTGCACTACTTTTTGATGTGCTTTGTTGACTTTGAGCTTATGGCAGTTCAAAAACACGTAGTTTGCGGCAAATTCTGTCACGCTGTTGCCTCCTTCAGATGTACCCACCAAGCGCTGGCAAAGTACACGCTGGGAGCAGCAACTGTATGCCCTGGAAGGCGGTTGTGCCCACTCTTGCACGATACAGGAATCAACCGTATGTGTCCAAGCCGATTTTAGTGATATCACGTTAATTATTATGAATATTTGTTTGTTAGTGCTGATAATTATACTACCTTATGTTTTCTTGCTTATTTTAACGCAGTTTTGAACACTGCGAGCTATGTTTTAGGCTTTATTGAGTGCTTGATTGGGAGCATGACAACCCTACGTGATATCTACCGATAGATAACAAGCCAGGCCCCTAAGGTTCTTTGCTCATAAAATTTACAGCTCTACCCACAGAATCGTGACGAACCTGCCCTTCATCTGTGAAAGACAGTTGCACTAGCTGGTTTGCACTCGAACCGTAAAGTACTTTTCCTGAGCTAATGTAAAACTTTGCATATTAAGAGATGCGTCATTACTGCTTAAAATGTTACATTTGACTGAGCAGCAATGTCAGAATAATCAACAAAATTTACCAGGATGAATAATGCAAACATAGGCCTGTAGGGCGCAGTGAGCTGTTTGAAACTCTTCAAAAATGCTTGACCGCACGAAAATCAGAAAGAGCTATCGGACCGAGCATTTATACAAGTTTTATGTGGGAAGCACAATGATTGAAGTGGGTGTACCTGACATATTCTCTTAGTTTGTAACCATGTGCACCTACTTTAATGATGCTCTGAGATGGCAACAAATAAACTGCGCAAACAGTTTTGCCAGTCAAATTACATTAAAGTGTCGAGAAATTATGTATTTTTTCTCCTTTCTGAGTGTTCTGCTATTGGATATCTATATGAACCACATACATACTAGATTGTTACTGGACATTCGAGCGTCCTTGAATGAGGACTAGGTCGAAGCTGGGACATGAAGGTTCTCGAATCCTGTCCCTCATTACCTCTGCTTGACCTTTCTGGCGGCAACTCCGCACAGCTGCATTTGATGCTGGCACAGCGACGTCCTCGAGCTTCTTGAGATCCTCCAGTGACAGACGGAACAAGTGGTCCCTGCAGGCAGCAATTTTATTTTTTATAAAGTGGAGATCGCGATAGTGCAATTGCAGCCCTTCATGTATACAAGTTGCTTTATTAGATATCAGCTTTATTAAATAGGGCTTCAGCACAAACCAGTATCATTCGAATTCATGAAGCAGATATTTGACTATGATTCGTTTGCATGAAGCCACAAGGAAAGGGAATCCGTACCGATTTTTCAGAAAGGAAAGCTTCTAACTTAACAAATATTTGTCCTGGCCCATGGTGGATCCGGTACCAACAACTTGTCATTTATTCCTTTCAGCATTCATTCGCCACCTTGTGGGATTTTGCACAACTCACTTGCAATGTTTAGTGTCCAGTTCTGTGCTAATTTGCTCTTGTGCGGCCAGTTGCTGAATTCGTGGTTATCTTAATTCCCAGAGCAAGCGCCCTGGAAAGGCGATGGTCCAGAGTTCAATTTCTTGAGCAACAAGAATTTTTCTTTAACTAGAAGCTTTTTTTTTTCTGAAAAACAGGTGTTGATTCTTGGGCCGCAGATAAGTGGTTGTCAATTGTTGCTTTCATAACCCTTATGCCACCTTGTGGGGTTCCACACAACTCATCTGCAATCCTGGAACTTCTGGAAAGATGTTGAAATGAAGAAATATACAAAAGCACCTGTACCGAAATTTTTTCGGCAGATTTCACAGAATTTAAAGGTGTGCGAAGTAGAAAATGTAATTTAAGAATATGGAAAAATGTTAAGTGTTGGGATCATTATTGCTGAGTCTTCAACCTTGTTTGATTCAAGCTTTTCTTCTTTTTCTGAGTAACTTACAAGGATCATAAAGAAGCTTTCATGCAATGCACCTTTCCTGGGGAGTCAGCACAACTTCCTGAATATTATCACTCTTTTGTCTTTTGTTACTGCTGTCAGATTCCAAATATGCGCCAACTAAGCTATAAGCTTCTCCTAAGTTAACCTTCTTGTGTAAACAGCAAAGCTTCCTTGTACTTCGAGATTGTTTTTCTAAACCTTCTTCTACAGAAAGTAATTTTGATAAAGTGTTGGATGGAAGCTACAATTAAGAAATGCAATTGAATTGTGCCTATTGTCACAGCCATCTGAATTTTATGGATCCTTTAGCCCATCATTCAGGCACATGCCTGTTTTATTAGGTACTTTCTGTTTTGCAACAGCGTTGAAGATGCCAATACATTTGATACATGGCATCACAAAAAAAAAAATAAACTGAGCAGGAAGATGCAGGTGAATAAGATGGCTTTCACCTTCATGTTGTTTTAGACGAATGCCCACGGTACCCTGTAATGTGAAAAGGAAACCTAGACAACCACCCTTTCGTGGCATGAAGCCACAAGGAAATCCGTACCGATTTTTCAGAAGGAAAAGCCTATTTAGTTGCCGAAAAATTCGTCTGGGGACCGAACCCAGGCCAACACCTTTCCGGGGTAGTCGCTCTACCAATTGAGCTAACCACGAAGCTAGCAATTGGCAGAGCGAGGGCGAATTCATCGACAACTCGAAGCACATGGACGCAAGTACGTATGTGTTCTTGGGTGTGGGTGCTGACATTCACCCCTGCTCAGCATCCCACAAGGGCCCACAATATTAAATGCAACATTTATTACACTTTTTTTTTGTGACCACATTGATAGATGAGCTTTTTCTCCGAGTGTGGACATACTACGTACTGGCTGGTTTTCTTTAACTATGCAAAATTGAAAAGATTGCCAGCAGAAATAGGCACAGTCCCAATTCTTAGAATAACTTGTTAGAAGAGTGGACATCACTGGAATAGTAAATTGATGCAAGAAAAGTGTCTAATTAGTAGTATTTCACTAAGTAATCATTGAAGCAATTGTACTGCACCAAGGATTGCAGTTCATGAAAGGGAAAGATTTGTTACTTGCCTGCAGTGCAATGCTTTTAACCTGTGGTCATCACAGGAATGAATTTTCTATACTCAGTGGACCCTTCTCTAAAAATTTCTCACGTACATGAAGGAGAGACTATTGCAGATTTGAATGTGGTAAGAACATCTGCATCAGAGTTGGTTGCAAGACATGAGCGAGTTGCTAGTATGAATAAAGCAGAGAGACTTCATCACTTGCAGAAGCTTGCTACACTATCCAGCATGCTGAATGTGCACCAAGCATTAGGTAATGTGTTTTATATGGCAGCTTTGACAGCTAATTGCTTGAAAGAAGGCAAAAGAGTGGAAGTCAACATGCTTAAGTACGTCCGTTTAGGAGGCGAGACTTTGTAAGACTACTCCTTTATTTTGTTGCAAGGTGTGCACAAAGTATATATTACTATGAAATATGACATTGAAAAAAGAACATCGATCAAGGTAGTGCAGGACAAAATGCTAAGCACGTCAAAAGGAAATACAACAATCAAACAAAAAAAACTGCATACTTTGCAGCTCACAGCATAGCTTTGCAAGTGTTAGAATAAAAAAAGTCTGATGAGCCTAGAGATAAGCTGCATAGTTATACTAAATTATATGACAATCAAGACGACACGTTGCAAGTGCACGGTGCACCCAAAAACATGCCGGGGGAAAAATTGCTCTTCACACACCTCACCAGTGTAGCCGAGGCTTCAAGTTTAAGATGCGTACGACCCACTGACTAAAGTTAATTTTCATCATAGGATGACATTAAGTGCGAGGCATTCTTGAATGAATATGTTGCTCACACAGACGTCCTCAGAACCACCGGTGTCGCACTTGACGCGAGGCACGCCCTTCACTTGGTTGACTAAGCGGCACATGACAGTCTCGCCCTATACCAGCCACTTGCAAAAACTGTACACCAGGAACCTACTTGCCTTGTTCACTGAAAATTCACCAAGCAATAGGCAGCATATTTTGGAACAGCAGCTTTTACTGCTATTTGCGTCACGAGAATGGGGAAAGACTGCAGAACGACATGCTTAATTGCTTCTTTTAAGCAGCTGAGCCTTTGTAAAATGGCTTATTTACCTTGTTGCAAGGTGTCTGCAGAGTAAATATAGCTATGAAAATAAGAAAAAACTTGCAGAAGGCAGCAAACGATGAAAGGCTAAGCATATCATGAACAATGAGAATTGCAGTTTTTGCAGCTAGCAGCTCACAATGCAAGTTATATATAAAAAAAAAAACAAAGCTGATGTGCAGGACGAGGTGCTGTGCAATGCAACTAAATTAAACGACAAACAAGAAGAGGCACAACTTGTGCAAGATCTGACCTAACATGTGCCAGAGGGAAACGATGCCGCTCACACATTTTTCACTGGTGTCGCAGAAAGCTTTAAGTCAATGAAGTCACCAACGTGCTCACTGAATAAGTCAACTCTCATCATCAGACAATACTGGAAGAGCCAGGCATTCTTCAATGAGTACGCTGTTTATGTGGACGTCCTCCCGACCATTGGTGTCGCACATGAGAACGCCAGGCACGCCATTCTCGTAGTTCACGAGGCGGCACATGACAGTTTGGCCCCATACAAGCTCTGCCAATCGTGCAGACACTTCGGGATCCCACATTCCTCCCGGGGCGGGACGCAGCCCCCACAACTTCACGGTAATCGCTTGCTGCGGCAGGGAACGGAAATGCGAGGCGAGTTGGCGCAAACGGGTGACCGGCATCATGGTTTTCACGCCGCTGTCAACATCCGTGACTCTGGCCATGCAGTCTTTGAGAACACTCGTCACGACTCCGCGGCACCAGTTTACCTGTTTGGAACCGGACATGTCGACGTGAGGGTAAGCGCACAATGCGCCAGCAACCAGGTCCGGGGTGCGAAAAGTGAGTCCATCTTTTCCCCCAGAGTCTTGTTTCGAGTAGAACATGTTCATGATTTCGAGCATGGTCTGTAAATCGTAGCTCGGATAACCGGCGAGGTTTATGACGACTACTTCGGGGCTGACGATGCGTCGCACGAGAGCGGGGAAGAATTTCTCCCGCGACGTGGGTGGCAGGGGTTGCACCACGCTAACGTCGAAGCACTTGGGTTTTCGCGAGGAACGTGGCTCGTCGTTCTCGAATCGTACCCCCAACGTGCCTGGCAAGGGTTTCACCACGCTAACGTTGCGGCACTCGGGTTTTCGCGGGGAACGTTGCACCACGCTAACGTAGCAGCACTCGGGTTTTCGCGAGGAACGTGGCTCGTCGTTCTCGAATCGTACCCCCAACGTGTCTGGCAAGCGTTGCACCACGCTAACGTCGCAACACTCGGGTTTTCGCGAGGAACATGGCTCGTCGTTCTGGAATCGTACTCCCAACGTGTCTGGCAAGCGTTGCACCACGCTAATTTCGATGCACCCGGGTTCCCGCTCGGAACATGGCTCGTCGTTCGGGTATGACTGACGCGATGCCGTCATTTGTCCATGAATGGCGGGTTTGTTAGGGGGCGACTGCGGCGATGTTGTCGTTCGCCCCTGAGTGGTTGGTGATTCGTCGTCCGTAAATGCGTGCAGCGATGGCGTTTTGCCCCGAGAAATGATTACCTCACCCTGCTCGACGTGGAAGTTGAGCAGGCCATGACTACACATACATACATTGAGCACCTCCGTAGGCGTTAGCCGCTGCCACCTAGGCTCTGCCTGCAGCAGTTCAAGGGCTGCACTCAGGAGCACGGATCCACCACTCGCCTGAAGAATGAGGTGTAGACGGTGCAGAATATCTGCAGTTTCTCCTCTTTTCGGCGTGATGTCTTGGTGCTGCCGTTGGTGGGGCTCGGGGCAGAACGATATTGCGCTCGCTGGGCTCGTACTACTCATCGTCGATATCGGCAAATTGTTCCGCCTCATGGAACGTTATTAGCGTGCCAATGGGGCCAGCACACTCAATCCTGCCTGCATGCACTCACGTAAAAAAAAAAAAAAAAGATTGAGGAGGCACTGGCTCACGCAATAAAACGCCACGACTGGTAGGTTTATGTGACCTCGCTTGCCATTATATAGATGTCACTACTGTCACTATACAAATAGTTATGACGTCATCACCCATGGCCGCTTGAGAAA